TGGCTTTGAGAACCACAGAGGAGGCACATCCGCTAATGTCCACCAGGTGGCGATCAAGCTCCTGGTGACCTCGCAATTGAGGCCAGCTGCCCCTCATTAGCCCAGCTGGAGATGCCCGCGAGGATGCTGATTCGGACAGCTGTGAAACAGCTCCCGGGGCATGGGAAAACACTCACGGTTCCAGAAAAAACAGCAAATGGATGTAACAATTTTCCTCACTTAATCAAAATCAAACACTTCTTTCCACAACTACGGGGGCGGAAGGGGGCGGGTGCTGATTGGCAGGAGGTGGACAGAACATGGCACTTATCAAAATCGCTCCCAAAGGGGTCACGCATGAAGACATACGTGGACTCTGCTGTCCAGTGCTGTCGGAAGTGGGCTGTGACAGCAATCTCCTCAGGCCTTGCCCAGTCAGTTCCTGCTGCCTTTCATGCTGAGAATAAGCCCCTCTGCCCTGCTAAATACCTGGGGTGGTTATGTTTATTCTGTAATGGTTGCCAGCACACACCACTTGGATCTGAGTTAAAGAATAAAAACCCTAGGATGGGAACTGGTTCTGCAGTTCCTGCCCTTCCTGTTTGTGAAGGGGGTCCTGTCTTGGACACTCTTACTTCTCGGTTTACCTAGGGTGGCATTAGGAGTCAATAGAATTATTGGCTTCCTCAAATCCCTTTCAGCAGCCTGTCTGGAAGGAGTGGACTATGGCACTTCTGATTTTAGCTTGCCATTGGTTCCATAAATAGGATTTTGATCGTGAGGAAAGAAGCCTACAACTGAGCCCCCTCATGGCCACTGCAAAGCCTGCAATGGCCTTTGGAAAGAAACAGCCGGTATCTGATCAGAGTGGACTTCAGCCATTGGGCCCATCTGCCCTCTTTCTGTGGCCTTTGCCCACTCCAGTGTCACAGGGGGTGGCAGCCTTCCCAACTTCAGCTCATTCTAGAATGTGCTAGAAGATATTTATAGGGCATGAGGGATCTAGCTTCAGCCAACTGAACCACACAGGTTGGAACAGACATGAGCTGATTTGTGTCCTAGATACTTAGGTCCTGACGGCTTTGCCTCAAGGACGCTGTTGGAACTCCCAGTATGGTGCTGGATGCTCACAATGTTCCTGGGAGTGTGGAAGGCGTGACAAAAGCTGCCGACCCTGTCTAGCTCAGCTGCGAGCCTCTGGTATCTTCAGTGTCAGAAAATGGAAGACCTCCCTGGGTGCTCAGGGAGTGGGATTGGGCTCTGGTTGGCATGGGAACCTGAAGCAGAAGCAGCAGCAGCACCTGACCGACAAATGGACAAGTTATACAAAGAAAGCTCGGTGAATCATTAGCTGTTTTATTACCATGAAAGACAGCATCACTATACACTGATGTATTAGCAGGACATGGTTTTAAACTCTGAGTCATAATTCTAGAAACCCATGGCATCTGATTGTGACAGAAATGCTATTTCTCTTGTCCTTAAAAATAAGTAAGAAATTGATGTCTGCTCTAGGCTCCTCCCTTGTGGATGCTCAAGGAACCAGGTTTCTATTGGCCTGGATCACCGGCTCTCTCTTTGGAGTGCAAGGGCCCCTTATCACGGCACTTCTACATGCCACCAATTAAACACTTTCTCTCTGCATAAACAGCTCATGTGATTTTCTTCTGTCTTCCTAGCTGGCTGTGACTATTTGCTCCACTCACCTGGGATTCGCACCCCCCCCCCCCGTGTCTCCCTCCATGCTGACTGACTGTTGTTTTCTTTCTTATCTCCCTGTACATTTCATTCTGACACAGACCTCTCTGGAGGGCCCCACACAAATTACAAGAGGCTCTGGCTTCCCATGGCGTTCCTTCATTTCCTCCTGAGAGATGCGGAGTGACACTCAGAGCCATCCCTAACAACATTGCGGTGTATTAACTGTGGTTTTGGATCCTCTAATTCCACAGCCCCTGAAACATTAGCACAGATCTTTTTGCAAGAAACTGCCTTAGTGAAAATTCCATTATGGAAAGAAAGTTGGAGCCCAAGGAATTTACATTACACAATAAAAGACACGGAGATCGCGGGAAGGAGGGGGAGCTCTCTTAGCAAAGTGAACTGGCTTCACATGGCACCCAAGTCACTGCCCACTCCTCTGCCACAGTTCGTGCCCGCTGCTGCTGCAGAACTGGGTGCAGGCTCTGGCTTTCACGCCATACACAGACCCGTGTGCTTCCATCTTTTGCAATTTTGGGTACTATGCTTACTTTGTAGTATTGCTTAGAAATGCCAGCGTGGGACCATGAGCAGAAAACCACCAAGTGTGCCTTCGGCGTTGGTCACATACATCTTCTGGAATTTATTTTTGAAACTTTAATTATGTGTAAACATGTGTGTTAGGAAGGGGGATAGGCACATGTAAGTGCCCCCAAAGTCAAGAGGAGGGCAGCAGACTCCCTCCAGCTGGAATTACAGGTGGTGTGGAGCTGCCCAACATGGGTGCTGGGAGCCGAACTTGTGATTCCTCTGTTAGAGCAGTACACATTCTCAACCACCGAGCCGTATCTCCAGCCGCATCTTCTGGAATCCAATGCTGTGCCTTGAAAGACTGAGGGGCCTCCGTGTGTGCTCAGGTTGGTGTGAATGTGTATGTGTGTGCTCAATGTTGGTGTGAATGTGTATGTGTGTGCTCATATTGGTGTGAATGCGTCCACGTTGGTCCCTGCTGTCTCTTGCGTTTACACACTAACAAACTTCCTTTAGGGAATTCTGAGCCATTCAGTTGGGGCAAAGATGTGGCAGTTCTCACAAAAACATCAGTACAGGTGTGCCTGTGTGTTTGGGTGTTGATGTGTGTCCATATGAGTGTGCAGGTGTGTGTGTGTGTATGTCTGTGCACACACGTTTCTGTGTGCCTCTGTCAGAGTGTGGAGTCTGTGTATGAATTTGTGTGTCTGTTAGAGTCTGAGCATGCGTGCTGGCAATGGGGGAACGTGTCTCTGTGAATGAACGCGGGCAGAGGGCCAGAGCCACATCCTATGGAATTCGGCTGGAAGTTCCTGCTATTACGCTGTTATAGAGGTTTTCTTCACAAGGTCAAATCCAATGGCTCCCAAGGGGCACCAGTGAAGTGGGCCAAAGTTCAGCGTTCCTCGGACTTCTGCACCTTGCCTGGTGCTGTGCCTCCCTGACGTCAAGGCTGCAGTGCCACGTTGTGCAGTAGCCCTGCTCAGATCTGTATGCTGTGCAGTAGCCCTGCTCAGAGCTGTATGCTGTGCAGTGGCCCTGCTCAGAGCTGTATGCTGTGCAGTGGCCCTGCTCAGAGCTGTATGCTGTGCAGTGGCCCTGCTCAGAGCTGTTGCTGTGCAGTGGCCCTGCTCAGAGCTGTATGCTGTGCAGTGGCCCTGCTCAGAGCTGTATGCTGTGCAGTGGCCCTGCTCAGAGCTGTATGCTGTGCCCTGCTCAGAGCTGTATGCTGTGCAGTGGCCCTGCTCAGAGCTGTATGCTGTGCAGTGGCCCTGCTCAGAGCTGTTGCTGTGCAGTGGCCCTGCTCAGAGCTGTATGCTGTGCAGTGGCCCTGCTCAGAGCTGTATGCTGTGCAGTGGCCCTGCTCAGAGCTGTATGCTGTGCAGTGGCCCTGCTCAGAGCTGTATGCTGTGCAGTGGCCCTGCTCAGAGCTGTATGCTGTGCAGTGGCCCTGCTCAGAGCTGTATGCTGTGCAGTGGCCCTGCTCAGAGCTGTATGCTGTGCAGTGGCCCTGCTCAGAGCTGTATGCTGTGCAGTGGCCCTGCTCAGAGCTGTATGCTGTGCAGTGGCCCTGCTCAGAGCTGTATGCTGTGCAGTGGCCCTGCTCAGAGCTGTATGCTGTGCAGTGGCCCTGCTCAGAGCTGTATGCTGTGCAGTGGCCCTGCTCAGAGCTGTATGCTGTGCAGTGGCCCTGCTCAGAGCTGTATGCTGTGCAGTGGCCCTGCTCAGAGCTGTATGCTGTGCAGTGGCCCTGCTCAGAGCTGTATGCTGTGCAGTGGCCCTGCTCAGAGCTGTATGCTGTGCAGTGGCCCTGCTCAGAGCTGTATGCTGTGCAGTACCCCTGCTCAGAGCTCCAGGGAGCTGAGTGAGTCCAAGCTGGTCTTTCTCTAATAACCGATTCTAACCCAAAGGATGCCTTATTTAGACCGGTCCCTGTTTTCTCTCTACTGAACTCTGTCCTGCTTGGGAGACTCCCTGGAGAACTCACCCGCATTTGCACATCAACCTTTGTTTCCTGTAAGGACTTTAAATGATGAACAATTAGGTTGGGACACGCCTGTGGGAACAGATGCCTGTGGCACTTGTATAGAGACAGAACTCAATGGATGGAATTTTGTCCCATATTTCTCTGTCTCTGTGAAGAACAGAGAAGCAGAATTCAAGCTTAGAGCTAAGAGGAAGAGTTTTAAAAGTGTTTAAAATATTAAAAATATAACTTTCAGAACCTAAGTCAATGGGCAATGGCCCGAGCTCAGACTCTTCTCTGCGGTCTTTCTCATGAAGGGCACACAGCGGCTCTCACTCCTTAAAAACCCAACACTGCCCGCCCACCTCGAAGAGCCTGCTGCTTATTGTTGAATGTGAAATGTCCCCTGTGGGCTCCTGTGTTTGAACTCTTGCCCTGCCCCTCCCACCTCGTTGTTGGTGCTGTTTGGGAAGATTAGAGAACCTTTAGGAGGTGGAGCCTGGCTAAAGGAAGTGTGAGCCGTCACAGACTTGTCCCACTTCCTGTTCTTTATTTCCCCACTGCCAAGGCAGTGTGGTGGGCTGGCTTCACATTCCCCAACCATGCTTTTCCCACCGCAACGGACTGTGCTCTGAAAAGTAGAAGCTAAAACAAACCTCATCTCCCTGAAGTTCCTTTTGATACAATGTCTTCCTACAGCAAGGAGAAATTCACGAAGACCCTGTCTTTATGGCCACTGTTCCTCTGCGATTCCCCTTGGACATGTATGAACATGCATGTATGATTGTTCTGGGATACTGAACATGGTGCATTCTAACATGGATGCAGTTTTAATAAATATCTGTATTTTTGAGAGACACACATACAAAAACCATACGGGCATGAATTCACAAACTAATCCTTTAGGGGAAGTCTGCCATTTGCTTATCAAAGCCAAGTGTGGCTGGGGGCACAGAAGAGCCTCATGTACGCTTGTCCTCCAGAAGCCGTCCAAGTGGCTGTCATGAACCCAGAACAGACCAGAGGAGCTCTGAATATGTATTGGCCTAGGCACTTAGAAGACTGGCAACCGACAGCACACAGCTAGCTGTACAGCACACCAAGGGCCATCATCGCCACAGCCATGATGACGTCACAACCGCAATCATAGAAATGTACACGCTACACAGTCATTAAAGTCTGTTCTATAATGCACAGAAAGTACCTGGTTAAAGCTGTTACAGGTAAGACAGATACAGGAGTCTGAGTCCAGTGCAATACAACAGATTTGTCAACAACTGGGTAAAATATATATATATATATATATACACACACACACACACATATACATGTGTTGCCTTCGAAATGTCAAACAAAGTAACACACAGTGCTTTTCTAACAAACCATGACAGTAAATCCTTACTTGAATCTGATAGAGTTGCTGTCATATCTCCTACATGTGTCCATCCATCTTGGCTCAGGCCTTGACATGCAAAGGTTCATACGCATGTCCTTGTCGTGAGGACATGTGTCTCCTTGGGTGCATTGCTTGTAGATAAAACCATCCAGCCAGAAGCATCTTCGTGGCATGATGCCCTTCCCGTTTCTCCTCTGTCTTGGATTCTACCCTTTTAACTAGGGAAATATCAAGAATGTGCTACACTTGTCCCCCATAACTTCACCTCATTGTCCATTTTGGGGCCATATATTTTCATCCTCAGTGCTGTGGCATCTGCGTGATCGTATTAGATCTTGATGTGGAAACCTTATAATGTACTCCCTAATGTTTTCAACGTCATTATTTCTTCCTTCCTTCCTTCCTTCCTTCCTTCCCTCCCTTCTTCGTTCATTCCTTCTCTCCCTCCTTCGTTCATTCCTTCCCTCCCTCCTTCCTTCATTCCTTCCCTCCCTCCTTCCTTCATTCCTCCCTCTTTCCTTCCTTCCTTCCTCCCGCCTTTTCCTTCTTCCTCAAATCCACTGAACTCCTGAGTACTTGCTTTTATTTACAGCTCCGGTCAACACTGACCTTTGTAGTCAATGGGTGGGGTAGGGTAGGGTGGGCTGAAAAACTCTCTTCAAAATTCTATTTTACAATACATATAGAAAAGTTGGGCCTTGTGGGATTTCTTTTAAATACTATACATAGTTGGCATTACACAACGGATGGGGGTGGGAACAAAAATAAACACGGCAATTGCTTTAGTCTGTCCTTACAGAAGAAAGTGTCTTCTCTACTGAAAGACTCTCTTCAGTATCTGCTGCAGAAGTCTGCGGAGAGAACACTTTACCCACAGATTTGGATGGGTCCCTTTTTCTCGGCACATGCCCCATTTCTGAGCAGTCCTGTGGATTTGGCTTTGTCTGGTCCTAGTTGAGCAGGGAATAAGCACTAGATGAGTTTTCCACAGAAGAACTGGTTGTTTCTGGGGTGGAAACGTTATATGTTCCTGCAACAAAAGGCAAAACAGCATTTCAGCCTCCAAGACAAACTTCCATGCACTTTGGCGTGCAAACATCTTCTGAGGAGACAGGATGAGCTCTGGCCCAGCAGCCATGCCTGGAATGGCTCAGGCCTGCCCTCCTCCCTAGCCCAGCGTGCCGGAGAACCAACGAGAGAGTGATGTCCTCAAGCATGCACGGCAGCCACCAAGCACTAACTACTTCACAATACACCAGCAGCCAGGTTTCCACACTGAACAGCCAGACCTCAACGTGGGCAGCCTCTTCCTAAGCGCCCACATGCATGGCCCTGAGGGCTTCTACATGAGGGGAACTTCCTAGTCCCCTTTTTTATCTTGACTTGGGGAAGTTCATAGGAAGGAGCTAACCGTTGAGCTGAAGGTTCATACATGGAAGAAAAGGGAAGAGAAGACTAACGCTAAGGGAGGAAGAGGCAGGGTGGGAAAAAGTGAGAGATACCAACAGAAGTACCAAGGTCCAGCACAGTGGTAGGGCAGCTGGTGGAACTGCTCAGCCTTGTGTGGGTAGATGGCAGGCACTGTGCGCAGGGGGCATACAGAACATACACTGGGCAAGGGAAGCGTCAGAGTGACTACCCTACCATCAGGATGATGAACTGCCACTGCTAACAGGGTTTCCATCATTGCCTGGGGGTACCTTTGGGGCTGCTGACAACATAAATCAAAGTTACAGTAATTAGCCCTCCCCCCAAAAATCTTATCCAGAGTAGAGCTGTACTGATGGCCCCCGCAAGAGTATTCAACAGCAGTGACCGGGAATCTCAGGCCCTGACACCCCAGGAACAAAACCCACATTCCCAACTTACGTCTGGATGGTTCGCAAATAAAGAGTGTATTCTACTGGCCTGATATTTTGCAAAGTTCAGATTCAGTAGATTACTTAACTTCTGCTCACTTCTTGGAAATGCCAAATGCTTATAAATTCCAATAGTTCTAGGATTTCCAAAGATTCAGTCTTTTCATTGAGGTCAGATCAGTGGCATCCCAAGTGAAAAGGGACAATTCTCTAGCTCTGGAATGGTTCCCTAATTCTCCACTATATCCGGAGACTTGGTCTTTATGGACCTCTCAGAACTCTCAGATTCAGGTATGTTTGATGGCAAATGTGAGACAGCCAGGGTCTGGACGTGGACACAGTCTACGGCTGCATTTGTGAGGTCTGTCTGGTTTCTGAAGAGATGAACATGGGGCTGAGGGGCAGCTCAATGGTAGAGTGCTCGCCTAGTGCACTTGAGAACCTGATCCCTAACACAACACTGAGAAGAGCAAAAATGAAAAGGAAAGCATTTGGGTGGCCATTTTCTTGGAGGAGAGGCAGTGTGACAGGAATATGCTCTGAGTGGCAGTGTAATGGGACTGCTCCATAGGGGTGCAGTGATGGGACGGTCCCTGTGGGGCAGACTGTGATGGGACTGTCCCGTGGGGCAGACTGTGATGGACTGTCCTATGGGGCATGATGGGACTGTGCTGTGGGAGGCAGCGGTTGGGACTGGATTTACATTCTGATTAGCTGAGACCAGTTCTGAAGTCATTAGCACTGTTTACTCCCTATTTCCCAGGTAGAACTTATGATTATCCAACAGAATATCCAGCTTGGACAGTGCCTCACCTATGTATACCCAGTTTGTAAATGGCAATGCGTAAAGTCAGAGTGTTTTCTGTAAGTGGAAGGAGCAACACTGTGTTGAATCCTACAATCTGATTTTCCATGTTTATTTTTCGTGTGACACAGAAAAGTGAGGTGTCTATTTAACATGATAAAAAGAATTCCGTGTTGGACAAGCCCAGAAGCTTGCAGACACTGCTCACATTGGACAGACAGACCTCTGAGGATGCTCAAGTTTCTAAAAACCTTCACGAATTTACATTAGTTGCCATTGAGAGAGGCTGCACTTCTTTATCAAGCTCCTGGTCGCTTGTGAACATATAAGCAAGTTCCTGAATTAAACCTTTCCCCTAAACACGGTTGTTTAGATCTGTGCCATGAAGTGGGGGTGGAAGTTGGGGTGCTAGGTCAGGGCCAGTGTGATCTGGTCCACCTGAAAGGACCTGGTAATCACTACATACCTGTTTTACCAAAAAGATTATTAAATCTTCTGGATATCGGAGAACTCATAGAAAACACGGGTGTAGATGAACCCAGGGATGTTGACTAGGAGAAAGAGGGAAAAGACAGTCATCAAACAAGTCCTGGAGACCAGAGCTATTTGGCTTCCTTTGTGTGTGGGGGGGGGGGTCAACTTGCTGCTTTCTAGTGGTCACTTTCCTGGGTGTCTAATCCTATCCCTTCCTTAGGTCAAGTGGTACTCCCTGAACTGAATAAACAGTTTGCAATTATATATGAGTTATGTTCTCACTCCTTCTTCCCCTTCTCTCCTTTCCTTCCTTCCTTTCCCCCTCCTTCCCTCCCTCCCTTTTTCTCTTTACCTGCTCCACCTTCTTTCTTCCTTCTTCCCTCCCTTCCCCCTTTCTTGCATTCATCCCTTTCCCCTCTCCTCCTTTCTCTCTCCCCCTTCCCTCCCCTCCTCCTCTCTATTTTAGTTTTCTTTGCTAAGGAACCAGTTTAGCTCTTTTTATACATGAATCACAAGTTAAGTTGTATCCTTGTTTAAATGCATGTCTTACTGTTTTGTGAACATTTTTTTTACTTTAACTTTACTGTTAGTTTTTCTAGTATATTTTGACATACAAAAGATAGCCAATCATATTGAAGGAGAATAGTTACAATCTAAAAGAATGAACCATAAAAAATTTCATTATTATTTCTTACATTGTTATCTTCTAATTCTTTGAATTCTACCCAGAAGCTTCTCACTGAGAATTTGATTTTTCCCTAAAGAGCTCTATAATGTTGCTGTTGGTTTTGGGTCTCACTATGCAGACCTAGCTGCCCTGGAGTTACTTGCTCAGTAGCTCAGGCTAGCCTCCAGCTTATGGAGATCCTACCGAGTGCTGGAATTACAGTTATGCGTCACTGCTCTGACTGAGATGCCCCGGCAGATGATCTGCCATGGAGAGATGTGGAGTCACATCTTAAAGAGACATGCACAGCACACTGAACCAGAAGATTGGCAAGAAGCAGCAATCATTATATAATCTGTGCTGAAATTAATCATGGAAGCAGAGGCTTTGCTTATATTTCACCCAGCTGATCATGATCCCAAGGCAATAGCTAGTCTCCTTCCTGGTATCACATTAACAGAGTCCATGTATGAACCAGGAAGCCTCTTCAGGACCAGGCTTACCTTCGAGTGCTGAGAAGACCATCTTGACAATGAAAACTTATTCAGCAAAGCTTCCTGCACCTGCATGGTTTAAAAGACACCAGTGTCAACTTGATAGGCTGCGTTTGGCAGGCTAGACATTGCCAGAAACAAGGGCTATCGTTGTTCTTACCTTCTGATCCCAGAGGCAGCCGAAGAGTAAAATGAAGAGCCCCTGTGGGAAGGATTAAGGACTGATTTTAATGGCACATCATCACCCAGTTCCCCAGAAAGCATCCAGCAGCAGGTGTTGAGTCGGCCCCCACCTTCTTCCCCATCTGAGTGGATGTGACGAGTCCAGGACATGAAGGGACACAGTAGTGACCCAGCGAGGAGCCTTAAATGATGGATACTAGGGAAATAATTCCTATTTTCCCTCCAACCATGAACAGGGCTGTGCTAATACACTTCTTTAATCTACATCATTCCTCATTTACACCCTAGGTTGTGAAGACCATCGTGGGATGAGACATTTCTTTCCATGGAAGTATGACTTGAAAACCATTAGGTAAGAAGCTTGAGGCCCACAACACATGATTGGTAGGTTTTGGGATTCGTATGGTTTTGCCACAAGCATCTAAGAGCAAGATGCTTCATGGCGTCCATCTTTCTCTTACAGCTCATCTAACAAACTGGCCTCCGCTGTAAGTGACTAGGTACCACAGAAAAGCAAAGAAATGTCTTCAGCTGAGCAGAATAAAATAGATTGGTATGTACAGGGTGTTCGTTCTTCAACCTGTCTTTCCTGAGGAACTATGTGGTACCCAGTATCTATTTCCTTCAACTGACTTTTGAGAATCGACCTTGAACCAAGGTCTTTATTAGACAGGGAGATACAGTGACCCACAGGAAGCCTCAGCTCACTGATGTGCACAGAGACTAAGTGGAGCCGTGACTTGACTTAGTGGCAGTGCCCTTCTTACGTAGGAGATAAGACTAGGGAAAGATTATCTTGAGTAAACAGCAACATCTAGTTTAGAATGATGACTCCCCTCCTAATTGTACTATGGGGACATTTGGGACCAAGTTATAACATAGGTGATAAAAGGTTCAAGGTTCCATGGAGGCAGAGGATTGTGTCCCTTAGTCTCCCTGAGTGCTTGTAATTACTGCTGCCCGGCACTTCAACCTCCAGTGTGTCCAAACCATTCCCCATTCCTCCTCTTGTTTGTGTTTCTATCATTAGTTCATCCCTCGAGAAAGGGCATTTCCTGAGATGCTGGTGCTTGGCTATCTGGCTTACCTGGAAGGCATTGAGCAGGGTGAAGATGATGTGGAACACGGCACTACTCCCCTGGATCACTGTGGCGAGACCGAACCCCCACGTGAGCCCTAAGAGAGGCGTGAGGACCCCAATGCTCTTGCTGATCTGAAACAGGCTGCTCTTCTCCTGCTTGCCAGGCTTGTCTCCGACAGAAGGCCTGAGAATCTTGGTGATGACCACAACTGTGATGCTCACGTTCACCACCACAATAACCAGTGCTGGGATGGCAAAAGCCAGGAGTGCTCTGGTGTCCTCCCAGTTGAGCCAGCATGCATTCTTCCTCATGTAGACTTCCTGGGGCTGTGTCACCCCCACTGTGATGGATGAGATAACGAGGGGGCAGCCGTAGCCGAGGGAAAAGGCAATGGCTTTCTGGGTAGACTTGCTGGCGTCATGTAGAATGAAGATCAGACGGTAGAAAAGCATGAGACCCAGTGTTAGCATCCAGAAGAAGACGCTGAGGTAGAAGAAGTGAATGAAGAAGGTGGCGGCCACGCAGGCTGTTTCGTTGAGTGGGTAGTGGCCGTCGTGGATGGCACTAGCCACAATGAACCAGATGTCAGCAATCAGAAGGCAGAAGGCGATGTTGACTATACACATGTGGCGCATATAGGAAGTTCGGTTCTTGGTCACCGATTTCCACACCATGGCTTCCACAACTATACAGGCCGCTAAGCTGAAGATGGAAAAGCCCAGCCCAATGTAAGAAATGATATCCAGAAGGACTTTTAGGAGAGATCCTGGATCTGGGGAGTCTGGGGACATGAGGATGGAGAATGATGTCAGGTGGGTACACTTGCAGAAGACCCTGTCCCTATTGTCCCTGCCATCCTCCTCCATAGAACACCCACTGCTGTCCCAGCCCCCTGTGTAGTTGGCGAGGCTGAAGTTCCAGAAGACACACTGTGGCTTGCCACCTGAACGATGGTTGTTCTTGAAAGTCATGGAAATCTTAAATGGCTTGATGATACTGTGGCTGACAGTAGTGGTCATCACCAAGCTGTTGGAAGATGCCTTTTCCTGTCCATCCTTGGCAAGGATGGCTTTCAGAGTCGGGAAGGCCACAGTGACAATGGATGAGTCGGGTTGCAAGTTTCCCAGCTGACACTCATCAATGGCGACATCGCCCCACAAGTCAGAGTCTGTGAAGACAAACTTCTGCTGGTAGAGCTGAGGGTGGCCACGTCGTACTACCATGCTCTTCATCTGAACGTTAGGGTGGAAGAGGAACGGAGGGGTGTTGTCTCCCAACCGTAGCGCTTTGGTAAACCTTTCCACCGAATGCAGGAACTGGGAGCTCTGGTTGCTCTGTTGCTGCAGTAACCTCTCCCAGGACTTGAAGGTGGACTTGTCTAAGATGACGTTAATGGTGGCAAGCACATCCTGCAGGTGACACAGAAGGAGGGGTGGGGGGAACCAAACCACTTTTTCAAGATAAGAGACAAAATAACATTTCTCTGAGTACTGGTTGGGGTAGAGAAGTAAGGGTGGGGAGCAGAGAATCTGATGTGCCACAAGTGCATCTGTCCCCTGCTTTCTTACAACGGAACATGATAGAGGCAGGGACCATAAGGCTGCGGGACTTTGCTGAGCATTTAGTAACAATGACTGTGAGAATCACCCCCTCACTACTAAGACCTACTTAGCTGGATGGGTAGAATTTCTCTTTTTCCTTCCTTCCTTCCTCCTTCCTTCCCTTTCTCCCTCCCTTTCTTTTTTTGTTCTTTTATTTTTGTGTATGTATGCATGTTCATGTGTGTCTATGGGTGCAAATATGTATTTGTGTGTGAAGGTACTGAGGTCAGAGGTTAACACTGGGTCTCCTTCATGCCTGTTGCAGGGTTTCTCACTGAATGTGGAGCTCACTGGTTCAGTGTGGTTACATGGTTGGTATACTCCAAGGATCTTCCTGTTGCTTCCCCAGCACTGGGAGTCAAGCCCTGTGCCCAGCTTTTCAACATAGGTTCTAGAGACTGAACTCAGACTCTCATGATTGCTTGATAAATACTGTACAAACATCTCCCCAGGCCCTTGGCTGACTTTTTTTTTAAAAAATCATAAACCTGTGAAGGCTTTATGGTAGGTGGCATGTCACCAGCACAAGAAAGTCTCAGAAGACATACTCTAGCCCTGAGCATCAAATGAACTATGTTGGGGCCCACAATTCCAGATTACAGCCTGCTGTGGTATCAAAGTGGCAGTGGCAGGAGTTTAAGAGAACCCGACACACACTATATCCATGGTCAAGAGCAGAGTGCAATGGATTAACACATGCATGCAAGGGCTCGCTCACATCTTCTACCTATATAACTCAGGATCCCTAGCCTAGGGAATGATGCCACACACAAATAATATGAAATTTCCTATATTAATTATTTAATGAAAACAGCCTCATATACCTTCTCTGAAGATGACCTTAACTTGGCCAATCTTTCAAAAGTGTGCCAATTGTCCTGCCTCCTAGGTGCCAAGCTGACACCATCATACCCACCTTGCACATATATTTTAGCCGGGCACATATTTTGTAACTGTTTTAATTCCTAGTATTCCTAAAAACTAGTAGGAATTCATTCTATTTAAATTAAGAAATGAAAACAGAGATTCTTTAAAGACATTGAGAACCTTCTGATCTAGAAGCCACTCCCTGCCACGCAAGCTGTGCTAGCCTCCTACCCAAATCAGTGCTCTTGAACATGTGTCTGCATGGGAAGAAGGAATGCTTCTTGAACACAAGTCCAGAGGTATTGGAAAGCAAGACCTTCCAAACTCCCATAGGACTTAAGTACACTTACCCTCATCATTTCCGAATTCACTTGGGTTGGAACTGTTGAGAGCAAATCAAGGATGCTGATGACGGCGCCCAGGCTTCCTGGAGAGGAGCGGATATCCCATTCCTCCTTCCCAGCACTAACGGAAAGGTCCCGCAGGTACGCAGGGAGCTTCTGGTCCTGGGAGGGGCTCTTGATCAAAGCCTAGTTTTAAAAAATGCCAGAATAAATGAAGATATTTTGATCCTGGTGATCTTGGAGTTGTGCTCTCCTTTTTTCTCAATGCCCATAATCAATAGTATATACTGTAAGTTAAAGCCTTCACCCCTTAAACTATCTGTGCGCTCAGGATGGAAAAGATTAAGATCGCATGCGTAGAGAGCCAAGGGCTAAACACATGCCTCCTGAAATCTAACTAGAAACAAAGGAACAATACATGTGATTGCTTCAGAGTTAAAGTAAAATAAACTTGTTATTGTCCACATGGAAACACATTTACCGGTCTTTTCCCTCTATACTACTGATGCTTTCGAGTATGAATATGATTGTCCCTCCTATCTCATTGTTCTATATCTGTTATCGCAGTATAATTATTAAGAGTGCCTTCTTTTACTTTTATAGTCCTGAGATTTAAACAAAAGAAGTACATACGATGGAAGGTGCAAGGGAGTGAAGCCAACTGCAGTCTTATGCAATGCAACTGTGAAGCCTATGGCCCTCAGAAAAGACCAAGATGGCAAGATGGTTGAAATAATGGCCCTCCCATCTTGACACTAACCAATTATTATCTAATTGGAATGATGGCTCATTCAACAGGAAGGAAATTGGAAATCATGCCTGCTGCTAGAAACCTAGTCAACTCCCTGGGGCTAGGGAGGTCACGGATCTTAGAGAAGAGCCAGAGTCCACCACTTCACTCAACCACATAATCCCTAACTGCATTTTAAATTCTTATCCACAGAGAAGTGTGATTTCCAACCCTCACCAACAAAACTTCTCTTTGAAATAGACAGAAACCATCACGGAAGACCACAACTGGTCAAAACACAGAGAATGACAGATCATGGGGCATCCAGCCCAGTAGATACATCTACAACACCACTCCTATGCTCAAGGCTCAGGAAACACTGAGGAAGAAGAGATGGAAGGATTCTAAGAGCCAGGAGACTTGGAACTCAGCTGTGAGACTGTGTCTCCTAGCTTCACCCATGGTACCTCAGTCATATGGCTGCCACAACAAGACCTTCACAAGGACGACAGTAGACACGCTGACATGTAAAGGGGAAATCTCATGGAGTTCCCAACCCTGGACAAAGAACTACAGGCAACTAAGAAACACTGAGAGCAGAGGAAGTAGTCTACCCAAGGGATGAGTTTCCTAAACGGTCATCCAGTATCAAGGGGTCAGCCCTCAAGTCATACACATACAAGCAACAGTGAAGGGATTAAGAAGGTTGCGTATATATATGTGTGTATGCATAAACATATAAAGAGAAAAGGGGAACGTGAGGCAATGGGAAGAATTGGAGAAAGGAAAGAGAATGGGGCAGAATTTTGTGATTATATTTTAATAATAAAAATGCTATTATAAAATAAAAAAGTTGTCTCCTTTTATTCCTGGAGTATCTTGACTAAGACAACAGATTATATCATATCATCTATCTGTATACATCTGCTTCCTAACTATCGACATTTCTAACACTTTAAAAAGAATGTGTTGGGAAAAAAATCTGTCTCCTATAAGAAGCCTTTGATGAGTTTCTCTTCTGTGAACACACAGATATTTATTTTGTTTTAAATACTTTATACTAGGACATCTCCACCAATGTCATTGTGTAGTCAATTTTCAATATTCTCCTAATTAGACAATATGTTATTGAATCTTATATCATCCCTTTATGAAACTATTATAGCTATTCGCTATCAGAGATATTTAAAAGAGATCTAAGGACGTATAATGCGCCACCCCTTGTAGATCTTGGACATGAGAAGCTGAGCAGTTGAGGTCAGACATTCAAGTGATCCCAGAACACAACACACACTTTGTTGCCGTCATATTAAAATGTAACTGGTTTTTAAAGCACTTCTAGGTTTCATTTTTTGAATGGTTAATTTTGATTGTCACCTTGCTGGGATTTAAAATAACCGTGGAAACAAACTTCTGGGCATATCTAAGGGGGGGTTTCTAGTCTGGGGTAAAGTGGGAGAGGCCACTGTAAAGGTGGATGCTCTCATTCCCTGGGTCTGCGGCCTGGGCTGCATGAAAAGGTGAAAGCAGGTGAGCACCAGCATCTTCTGTCTCAGCCTCCTGACTGTGGATGCCATGTGACCAGCCTCCCCGTGCTCCTGCATCCATGCCTTTCTTGCCATGATGAACTTCACCCTCCAGTTGTGAGCTAAAACAACATTTCCTTCCTTAACTTGCCTTTGTCATGTTTATGGTACAGTAGCTAGAAAAGTAGCCAATAAAGCATATTTTGGCCATGCATTTTGGAGAGGTGCATGGCCAACTTTCCTAAGTGCAGAGAATTCTGCTGGGCCAGAGAGATAGCCCTCCTCAATGGCTTAGAGTTGAGGGTTGCAGGTTGCTCACCTTGGCTAGCTGGAGCAAACTATTGATTGGAGCTGAGATGCAGCCTCTCTTCTCCTCCTTCCACTGGGAGCCCACACATTTGTAAGTGACGATCCCACCGATGATCTGGCCAGGGCTTCTGGAAACTTTTGAGAATTGGCACAGCTTCTGAATGACCTTCCCAGGCTCTCCAATACCAATCACAGGATCCTGGCATGTAATATTCTCCCCTGTATCAGAGAGGTGGAAACACAAGGGGCAATCAGGGATTTCTGTCCGTCAAAAGAAGAACAAAGTTACATGGTTTGTGGCTAAATGGATGCAACTAGAGATGACCATACTAAGATCATTAAAGCCATTCTCAGACAAGTACTGTGTGTTGTCTCTCATTTGTATTCCTAGATTGTACATAGATTCATAAAATCATAAATTCACACACACACACACACACACACACACACACACACACACACATATATATATATATATATAAAATTAATGCATGAATGCAGAGATGAAATAATCCAGGGGAAAAGAAAGGACTATTCGGGGAGGGGGAGAAGGAGGAGAGGAGGGAGGCTAAGAGTTGGGGTATACTCAGTATGCACTGCACACTTGTATGAAGCTGTCCTCTTGTTATACAGTTCAGTGCACAGTGGAAACTTATAGTGACATTCAAAATCACACAGAAAATTCAAGACCAGTGGTTAGGGACTGTATGTGACTTTTAAAAAGAAGTTGACACTTTAAATTTGAAACTTTGATCCCCAAGTCCCTCCAAATTCTGAATATTTCCAAACAACAGCACGGAACCATAGGTGGGCAGTTCCTGCTCAGAAACCCTTTTCAGCTGTAAAATCATCTGGCTGTAGGTTTGTTTCCCTGATGGTTCCGGCCTTGTGCATGTGAGGAAAAATGCTGTCTCAGCTGCCGCAATCAACACAATCAGAGCTACTGTGGATAGCAGGAGATTGCTTTACCTGCCTGTCCTGCCCCCTGTCAAGATTATTAAAGATATGTATAAGGATTTTCAAAAGAGACAGTTTACAGGAACAAGGAAGAAGAAATCAGGATCAGGCTGCGCAGCTTTTGGTGCTAGAGTTCACACTGCCTTTGCTCCCAGTGGCCTGGCGAGAACTAAACACCTTCCTTTTGTTCCTGGCTTTCCAAAGCCCCTTATTGCTTTCACCCCACAGCCAATCTGTAATCGCTTTCCTCTGTGCTTCGTTCCCACCTCTCATGCCTAGGACTCTCATTTTGGATGTAGATGAAATCTAAACCATGGAAAGCACCAAGAGCTTAATGTATGCTCATCCAATTAAGAGACTACCCTGTCTGCCAAGGGTCTTAAGGTCATAATGCCTTCCTACTTTATGGGCAGGTCCCAGATACCAATAAGGGAAAGAATGTCCACGGGTATTTAGTAAACCAACTAGGTGGAAGAATTAGGGAGCCTTTGTCTATCAGGGATCCTGTTCCCAGGAAATCATCTTTATCACTCTGCCTCTCTGGTCACCCGGTGACTTCTTCTACATGAGCTCACATAGAAACAGTCCCACAGGACATGACCATGACCTTCCCCTTTGAGAATATGCCAGGTCACACTGGCTCAGTGGTGACAGAGGATGGAGAAGGCAGGCACCTGTCCTTCCTTTCAAATGGTTCCATCTCAGGAAAGGGGTGCTCGTGAGGACATACCCCCTTGACGTTATCCCCAAGGAATCTCAGCGAGACACAGGCACTGCCCACTCCAGTCTGCCTCACAAACCACTTAAGCTTCTGATCCAACCCCAGAATGACTTCATCTCCCAAGATGCCCTCCACTGTCAGCAGGAGAGTTCAACCAAGCAGCCTCTGGCCACCCAGAGTAGTTCTTTACGGTTGTCTCAGCAGCTTTGACCACACCTTTAATCATCTCTCCATCTCACCCCTAGGCCAGAGGCCGGAGAACATGGCCTCTACTTCTTTTAGTATTCCCTATGGTTTACCCAAGGCCCACCACAGGGAATGTATTTTACTGATTATCCAAAAGGAGGCAAGGGATGAGGAGTTCCTGGTCATGACTGTATTTTAGCGTAATTGAAATGCACTTACCCCGAACAAGGGTGAGCTTCATCGCCGGGCTCCGGACTGAGGTGTTGGCCGTGTTGGTAAAGTGGCAAAACACGTCGATGTTTTTGGGACACAGGGGTGAGTTTGCTGGGAGGCTGTATTTGTAGCATGTTTGCCTGCCATTGACTTCTCTCTCTAAAGACGGTGTTATTGAAAATGTGAATTCACAGCATGAGTAGCCAAGACATACAGGTTGTCAAGATGTTCTGATATAAACAAACCTTCCCCAAACACCCCTAGGAATTTATGACATTTATTTTTAGGGTAGGTTCACATATTTATGTGAAAATAACCTCTGGCTATTAGTAAATAAATTCCTCTTTGACTGAGTGCTAGCTAAAATGTCACCTAAACCATTCATAGTTTCAAGTCTGAGTCCATATGCTGCTCGGTATATTGATTGCACTTGATCTCACAGTGATTTACAATTACCTCTTTATTCTATACTTGAAGATTTATTTAAAATTTTAAAAATGATGTGTACCCATGAGTGTCAGTGTATGCTCTTGGTAGTGCAGTTACCTGCAGAGCCCAAAAGAGGGCACAAGACACCACGGAGCTGTAGCCGCTGCTGGTTCTGAACCACCTAAGCTGGGTGATGTGAACTGAACTTAAACTTGGCTCCTCGGCAAGAACAGTGTATGCTAGGAACTAAGACCTCTCTAGCCTGTGGGTCATTCTGTTTTACTAACCAAGAAGCATCAGTAGAGACAGTCCCCAGTCTCATTTATCTCTCCCAGGGCTTGTCTCAGTATCTGGCACATGAAAACACCCAGTTTATGCATAATGGCATCAGAATATGGAGACAATGGCATTCTTCAATATCTGGACAAGTTCTCTGTCAGCCAGTAATGTAACATTGCCCTCTCTATCTAACTGAAGTCTTACTTTTTTAAACTTCCAATGCCTTTTCAATCTGGCCTACTTATTTATGATATTTAGTGTTATATGCATTTCATTTTATATAGCATGGGCCTTTCTAGACGTTAAAATAAATACCTAAATTATTTATTGTTATTATTATTATTAATTTACTTATAATTTATGTGTGCCTGCTTTTCTGTATGTACACTGTGTACATGCAGGATCTCACAGATGTCAGAAGATGGTGCCAGATGCCCTGGAACTGGAGTTAGAAGATGGTGCCAGATGCCCTGGAACTGGAGTTATATAGATGGTCGTAAGATGCCCAATGTGGATGCTGAAAGCCAAACCCAGGTCCTCTGTGAGAGCAGTAAGGCCTTCAAATTGTAGGAGGCTTGGAGGTTTGTGTGTTCACAGATAAGCACTAGGGAACCAGGAATGTTAAACACACAGAGCTGTGCCTTTAAAGGAAGGGATGCATAGCCTGTCATCCGCCCAGAAGGCTCGGAGCAGAGGTTAATGGCCTGGTGATCTTTGCACTATCTGTATGACCAAGACCACAATGAATCCCTTCCCAGGACCTTATCATGAGTTTCTTTTTCTCAGTCAATCCATGGGACCTATCTTTATGGAAGGTGTCACGTGTACTTTACAAAGATGCAGTCATGTCTGATCTTTATTTAGCTTATTACAGCAGATGACATACTTTGTTCTTCACGGAGATTTATAAATGCTTATTGAGCACATGGGAATAATTATCATCAGGGACGTTTTCACCAAATGGCACTGTTTAAATATGCCTAAAATAAACTACTTAGGGTCAGACTCCTGAAGTTTGAATCAACACCAGTTACTTAGCCATGTTGTACCAAATTGCCTTCTATCTCCAATGGCTCACTGCTCTGCTCGCCATGGTGGATGCAGAGACGCCTACATTCAATCATTGAGTCATCTCTATGAGTCATCTAAAAAGGCTCCTTTTGTTCCCCATTTCTCAGGCTGAGCAAATTCCCAAAGACAGTCATTGGAAGAATTAGTAAGCTGTGTGTAATTGAGATTTGGAGTTGTGGGACATTTTAGAAGAGAGGATTTGAACTTTGTTTTATTCTGTTTTGCAAGACGATGACCAGTGAAGAGCTAGAAGCTAATTACTATTCCTCACCTTAGGGTTCCTGAATCCCACACAGTGCAAGAACAATGTCCAAAGGGGGGCAAGAGTAAGAAGCTATACTGTTTAGAGAACTTGCGTGCACCCAGAGACAAAGCCAGACTTCTAACTGTGATTAATGGCTTTTGTTTTTCTGCCCTAGTCTCTACTGAGCATGTCACCCTTTGGCAATCCGCCCATTGTGCCAGGAGTGGGATGTGGCAGGGAGTGGCTCAGCCACCATTTAAAGAAAAAAGGCTAGGGCTGGAGAGATGGCTCAGTGTTTAAGAGCATTGGCCGCTCTTTCAGACAGCCTGGGTTTGGTTCCCAGATGCCAATGGTGGCTCATAACCATCTATAACTCCAGTTCCGGGAGAATCAACACCCTCTTCTAACTTCCACAAGCTCTGTACAAATGTGTTGCACACACACATACATACAGGTAAAAAACACTTATACACATGAAGTAAAATAAAAAATGTTTAAAAACAGTTGGTTTGATTTTGTTGTTGTTGTGTTTTTTTTTTTTTTTTTTTTTTGATTTTCGAGACAGAGTTTCTCCGTAGCTTTTGGTTCCTGTCCTGGAACTAGCTGGAACTAGACCAGGCTGGCCTCGAACTCACAGAGATCCGCCTGCCTCTGCCTCCCGGGTGCGGGGATTAAAGGTGTGAGCCATCACAGTCCGTTGTTTGTTTTTTAGACAGGCTTTTCCTGTGCAGCTCTGGCTGACCTGGAACTCACTTTGTAGACTGAGCTGGCCTCACGTACCACCACCTGGCCTAAAAAACTGTTTTAAAGAGCACGGTCTTCCTGAGACCCAGAGCCTTAAGCTCAAGGCTCTGGGATTCTGGTAATGCCAAATTCCTTCAGGAAGCATAATTGCTAGAGTGTGGGTCTTTCTTTCTTTTCCTCTGTGGTGCTTGGCTGGTTTTTGCTTTCTGCCCCAGTTTGGAAAGATTATTGGGCCATTTTCTATCAAGTTCTCTTAGGCCACAGAAAGAGGGGTTATCAGAATGTCTGCTCAATGACAATAAGAGAGTGGAGCTGAATCCATGGTTCCACCCACAGGTGCTTCAAACTAGAGAGTCGTCCGTCATACCCCACAGCAAGATAACAAGGAAGGCTCCATGATATTTCAGCCCTGATGGAGTCTCTATCCAGTCCTGAGGACTGATCCCATGGTCCTCCCACATGCCGGGCAAGTGCTCTGAAGAAGAGCTACATCCTCGGTCTCTTTTCATTTTTTGGTTTTACTTTGATACAGAGCCTCACTAAGTTGCCTAGGTCATCTTTGAATTCCCTATGTTGCTTAGGCATTCCCTATGCGCACAGACCCATCTGCATCAGTTTCCTGAGTAATGGGGATTACATTCCTGTACATCAAGTGTGGCTCCGTCTCCAGAAACGTTTCAATGTCTGTTTTAAGAGTAAAACATCCTATCTATGAGCTAATGTGACCTAACCATGGGACGGTCTGCATCTCACCAGCAGGAAAGGGTGAGGAATCGACGTGGAAAGTGACGACGTACTCTTCCCCTTTCTCCTCTTCCACGCAGCACCTGAACTGATGGGAACTGGTGCACAGACCACTGGCTTCCAAAGGATCCACCATGATATCTGACTCCAGAGGTAGTGGGTGGATGGTGACATCTTTGGTGGCGATACTGTATGAATTCTTGTATCTAAATATGCAGTGGTAGGTTCCTGAGGGGAGGGAGCAAAAGGGAGACAGAGAGAAGTCATCACTCTTAAAGGGCATCACTGGCGATAAAGAGTCTTAGCTTTCCTTCCCAAACTTGGGTAAGGAAGCTGGGAGAGCTTGACTGATTTCCCTCCTAGGAACTTCCCATGTCCTAAAAACTAACCAATAACGCTCCTTCTTTCACATACACATTCACTTCAACCAATCAAATTAAATGACTTATCCAAGGGTAAGAGTGAAACTGGGTGCCAAACTTCCTGCTCCATGGTTCTCCCACAACCATGGAAAGAGTGGGAGTCTGGTGGTGTGCAGAGAAGAATGTTTGTAAAGATCTGGGACGTGATGAACCCTGTGGTTCCATCGCACCCACTTGTCTGTCTAAATGAGTGGTCCCTTAGGCTCCAGGACACCATGCCACCCGAGGACAAACCACCATTGAAGCAGCTGCCCTGGATGTTTATGTACTTAGAACAGTAATTACTGTATCATAAAAGATCCATGGATCAGCTGCTGCCACACAGGTCTACTGATTCCTTACCGCTCTCCAAAACTTGTACTTCCTGGCAACACTAACAACATAGAGTTATAAACAGGAAATACAAATACTTCTCTTATTAAAACCAGACATGTAAACACTTCCCAGAGTTTTCATAGTACAGCTGGGTAGTGTAGTACCAAGCATTTAGTAAAGGTGTATTATTATTATTAGTGTGTGTGTAAGTATGTGTGCATGGGAGTACATGTGTGTATGCATATGCATGTATATGTGTAAACACATACATGTGGAAATCAGAGAACAATCTCCAGTGTTGTGTCTCCTAGGCACGTTCCATCTTCTGTTGGAGACAGAAGTCTCTCCTTGGACTAGAAGTTTGCCACGAAGGCTAGACTAGCTGGTTAGCAAGCCTCCAGGGATTCGCCTGTCAGGACCAGCTCTCCTCACCCCCTGCCAATCACTGCTGAGGTTGCAAGCAGTCACTACTCTGCTGAGCTTTTATGTGGCTTCTGGGGATCAAACTCAGGCTTTTCTTCTTGCAAGGTAAGTGCTCTCCTGACCTGTCTCCTGACCAAGCTGTTTCTCAGGCTGTCGTGAAGTTATTTAGAAACAACTCTTTCTGTCATGAAGCAGGAGTGCAGGCTGTGGACTCAGATGCTAACGCCAATCCAGTCTACACAATCAAACCTGTACCATCATGATTAATGTTGCATTTGATCATTGTATGCCACATCTATAAACAGGAGAATGCTATCTACCCCTAAAGGACTACCATATCACCCACAAAGAGCGATTAATATAGTCACCATAGGCATGCCCCAATTCAGAGCCTTTGGAAGCATCTGCTGCTTGCCATTGCACATTTGCAGGAGTCTAGACAGTCTACTGCAGGGGTCTGGCCCCTCCCTTACCATTCCACTCCCTGGTGGAGGTCTTCACTGTCAGCACCGACTCTGCTCGATCCCCTTGCCTGCTCATGGTATAAAACCTTGGGTGGATTTTAATACCAGCGGAAGTGTTCCAGTACACCTCATCATAGTTACTCACGTCGCTGCTGCATGAGATAGTGAAGCTTTGTCCCTCAGAAACAGAAATTGGGTCCGAGGTTATTGTTAGGCTGGCTGAAAGAAGGCAAACAGGACAGACAAGACAAAAGCGACAACAAATCCAATGTTTAGTTTTTCGGATGACATCAACACAGGAGTGAAAATTTAAGACAGAGACAGCAACACGGACCGTCCTGACGCTACTCGTGCCAACGCGGGATTGGTACCTTGCTGTTCCTGGGCTTTACTTGTTTCTAGGCTGTTGGCGGTGGTGCTCTGAACTGTACTCACTTCCATCACATGCCTTAGGACCTCGGGCACTTCCCCTTTGTAGCTGGAATTATCTCCTGATGATTAGCAGGGTAAAAGGTTGCAAACTTAGGGATGTTGGCTTCACCCAGGCTCCCCTCCCACCTCCTCTGCGACCCCTCAAGGAAAAGATAGAGGACTGAGTTCTCACAACGCACATCAACTCTTTAGACACGTTCCCCCACAACACTGCGTCACGTCTTGGAAGAGAGCTGTGCTTACCACTGTACCACCAACATCACACCACTGTGACGATGTATCTGTCTCCAGTAAAAAGACAGCCTTTAGCCCCTGTTGGTGTGTCCTTAGCATTTACTGATGGTCTAGTATATAGTTAGTGCTTCATAAACAAAAGAATGAATCCTTGATTTAGTTTTTCCCTAGACAGATCATAAAGTTCACTATCCAAATAATTATACTTAGACTATCTTAGGCAGACTGGGATTGTTTATAGCTATTTGGTTTTAACTATATACAATATTATAACCGAAGTTATATACATGCTGATGTCATGTTTACTGCTATTTTTGGCATTCTCTCACAGATTCCTAAGACATTGTTTGTTGGCAATGTTGAGACCATTGTGGATCTAGATGCTGATATGAAAATCCCACAGTTTATTTTTCTATTGTTCTATTTATTTTTCCTTTTCTCTGGGAGCATGTCATTCCAATGATTGACATCTCAAAATGGCACTTGCTTTGGCCATCCATGGAGGCGAATTGCTCATTCCTTGAGTCAACCACCACAGGCCTGCCTCTCCAAGCAATATGAATCTTATTCTTAACAATGATCCAAAGAAGCCAGTGCTTTCCATAATGTCTTAGTCATAGTTCTCAGGCTGAGGACACACAATAGTGTGTCCCTCACTCTGCCCTCTCTTACTGGAGGGATCTGGAAATGGCTCTCTGAGGGCTTAGCCATGTCTGAGCAGAAAGCAAAGCCTCATGGACCCAGAAATCTGGTTCTCTGGTTCTCTTGTCCTCAGAAGAGGTCAGATGACCAGACCAGGGGTTTTCAGCAAGGATTAACAGTGCCTCTACAATATGCCCCCAGGGTTCCAGATAAAAGCTAAGTCTCGTGTGCCGGCAGGAGAGGAACCAGGCGCCTGCCCTAGAGGGACTCCTTGAGGACTCTGGGAAATTGACAGTGCTCTGTGGTGAAAACTGCCATGCCTATACACTCTTGTTCTAACTCAGAGAGCTGTGCTGTAGAAGGGGCCCACACGAGCCTGTGCTGTTGTATAAACACTAAGTTCGAATAGCAGAACACTCACAGGAGACAAATAGTTATTGTTGTCATGACACTTCTCATAAAGGCTGCAAATGGTTCCTTTTCATAGGCTTGGTGGAAGGAAAGTTTTACAGCGTTGGTGATTCTATAATGCTAGCTGATTAATGACGTCTTTATTATTTTGATTGGCGTATTACCAGCACTATGGTTTGGATGAGAAATGTCTCCCCTAGGCTCGTGTCTTTGGACACTTAGTTCCCAGTTGGTGATATTGTTTGGGAAGGTTACAAAACCTTTAAGACGTGGAACTTGCCAAAGGAAGTACGTCACTGTGGGTGAGCGCACAGGTTTTACAGCCTGCCAACACTTCCTGTTGTCTCTCTGATTCCTATGTGTGGATATCAGGAGGCACCATAGGACAATGCCAAATGCTCAGATTGTCCTAACTCTGCAGTGCTGTTTCTAGGACAGGCAGACTGGAAGAGGAATTGAGAAACAGCAGGGAAGCGAGTGAGGATGTCGGAACTTAAGGAGGGGAACTGAATTGGGAAGGAAAGGGGGTTAGCTGTCACATGAATTTACTGAGCTGGTCGGGACACTGTTCCCCCAGCCCATCTGCTTTCTTTATCAAAACTAGGGGATTAGTTTCTCACCGCTCTTTCCCACTTGACCCTTCCCAACTTAAAATGGATTCCATCTGACTTGAAATGGCATAGAGGGGCATCCAACCACCATCCCACTCCCAGGGAAGGCCCAGCTTTATTTAGCCCACTGGTGATCCCAGTTGATTGGCAAGGGTACCCTACATCTGTCTGAACCGTCTACGGCAAGAGTTCTTACCTACAGAGACGAACGTCACAGCTATGTTCTTACTGCCTCTGGCTCCGTAGGGACTGACGAACTCACACGTATAGGTAACTGTTGTTCCAGAAGACCCACTAGGACACTGGGTTCCATCTGCCTTGAGGGTGTAAGTGCTGCAGCTTGAGTCTAGATCTGTTTCTGGGATCCCTGAAATGACACAAACAGATCTGTTGACGTCACGGTTGTCTGACTCTGAATTAGTAGCAAGCTTTTTAGTGGAAACTTCCGTTTCATACTTTTTCAGTTGCTAGCAGCTTTATATTTCTAAAATCATCATTTCCATTCCCAGAAACAGCCCACCCTCCAAATCATCTTCCCGGGGCTTCTAGAACAACCCTGTGTATGACTTTTCCCACTCTGGTCTCCATTTCCAACCTGCCCACTTCATCTGCTACTGTAGACCCCAGACATTCCCTAAACATTTACACCCTCCCAAAGTGAGAGACACAGAGTAAGTTGATGGGTTAGTGTCCAAATAAATCCAGGCTTTCAGCTGTAGCAGGTCAGCTGTGCTGTGCTGGCTAGTTTTATGTCAACCGGACACAAGCGAGGGTCGTCAGAGAGGAGGGAGCCCCAGCTGAGAAAAATGCCTTCATAAGATCTGGTGTAAGGCATTTTCTTAATTAGTGATCCATGTGGGAGGGCCAGCCCCTTGTGGGTGGTGCCATCCCCAGGCTGGTGGTCCTGGGTTCTATCTACATGAAAGCAGGCCGAGAAAGCCATGAGGAACACCCCATTAAGCAGCACCCCTCCACAATTTCTGCATCAGCTCCGGTCTCCAGGTTCCAGTCCTGCTTGAGTTCCTACCCTCACTACTTTTGATGGTGAACTGTTATATGGAACTGTGGGCATAATAACCCCTTTCCTCCTCCAAGTGCTTTGGTCATGGAGTTTCATTATGCCAGCAGTCACCCTAGACAGATGCCTTTATTATTTTGATTGATGTATGACCAGTGTTGGGGTTTGAATGACAAATGTCCCCCATAGGACCATATGTTTGAAGATTGGGTCCCCAGTTAGCACTGCTCTCTGGGAAGATTGTAGAACCTTTAGGATGTGGGAACTTGCTGAAGGAAGTACATTACTGTGGGCTGGCTCTAAGCTTTCACAGCCTGGCCACACTTCCCGTTCTTGCTGTGTGTGGATGAAACATGAGCACACCTGGCCTCCAGGCCTTCCCTATCCTGGTGGACCGTGTCTGCCCTGGAACTGTAAGCTGGAAATAAGCCGTGGCTTCTACATCTTGGTTTCTTCTCCGGTTATTCTAGCAGGGAGGCAGAAAAGCGGCTCCTACAACCATCTTCCTACCCGAGGGTCTGTTGGAGTAACTCCGCCCATTCCCTCTCTCTTTCATGTTGACAAAATCACTTCTAATTCTCTAAAGACGTCCTCTCTCTGCCCATCCTTTCTTGAGCTGAGTTCTCAGAAGAAAGCCACATCTGTATTAGGGTTCTACACGGTTGATTGACTGTAGAAATTTAAATCATTGCCCTCAGACAAGAGTCAAATCATTGGCCAAGTCTGCCCATGTGAAAGGCCCTCTTCCCACAACATCTCTACTTTTCATGATGTTTTTGCATGTGTTATCTCTGGCTTCCCACTCCCACTTTACATCTTGAAACTGACGTTTGTCACCCTCTGCTTTAGCAGAAGTATTTCCTGAAGACCAACAAGAACGTCCTTTTTCCTCCATCCTGGGCTTTTCTCCATACAATCTGCACTATGCCCTCCCCACTGCCAGCCACCTGCTGTGGCTGCTTGAGCCTGCGGGTCTGTCCTTTATCTTTTTTTTACTCATCCTCCTGGATCTCATTTCTAAGGCCCTATCCGAGCATCCTTCTTAAATGCATAGGATGCTCCCTGCTTTGTCCTTAACCCAACTCCCTCCACCCCACCCCGCTCTTGCTCATTTTCTCTTCATTCTTTCAGCAACCTCACAACTTTGGCTCCTGTCATAAATTGAGATTGGATGACTTCCCACACGACTCTAAGAAGAATGTCCTGCTTGGAAACTTCTGAGGCAAATTCCCAAGTGTTGATTTGACATCTCTGTTACCCTCAAACTCAACACATGCAATTTATTTATTTTTCCCCAGACAAAACTCACACATCCAGTGCTTCCTCTTACTGATATTGGCAGAAACACAAATTAAAAATCTTAAAGGCCACTTTAATTACCTGCACTTCCTCACATTGTACTTCTACACACTTGTTTAAAAAAAAAAATGGTCTTGAGCTTAAGCTCCTGAAACAAGGCTGCCTCCATCAAAGCAAGGTCACTCTCCCAGGCCCCGCTGTTTGTTTTCTGAACTTTGCAACTGATTACATCTGGGTCTCAATTCTCAGTTAATTCCGCCTTCAACTTACTCATTATGCCTCCTGTAAGTTTCATTTTCTTTTTGTAGTTGACTTGTTTGGGGTTGTAAGACAAGGGCTCACTATATAAGTCAAGCTCGCTTTGAATTTGCTGTGTAGCTCAGGCTGGCCTTTGACTTGTGATTCTCCTGCCTCAGCCTCCTGAGCATTAAGTACACAGAGACACCAGGACGCCCAGGAATGCTTAGTTTTCTAAAGCCCTGATCGTCTAACGTACTTGTGTGTACAGTAAAGTCAGACGTTCTTCTCACAGTGTGTGGCCCTGTGGACTAGGAGTTAGAAAGATCCCTAGTAGGCAGACAGATAGGAAGAGGACAAACAGACAATAGAGATGGCAAACTTCCTTGCCCTTCGTCCCTGAGACAAAAGCCTGGCATCTCAAAACAAAGACCTAGTGGGTTTTTTCCTCCCACTAGTTTCTCCACCTCAACCAACAGACCAGCTCAACAAGTCCAGGGCTGGATTATGGCACAAATATATCTCCACGCTTGTGAGTCTACCTGATGACCTGTCTTCACTGCAAATGACAAGCCCTAAACTGAAGAAGAAAAACCCCCTCAAAGACCCTTAAAACCTCAGTGAGGAGAAACCTGGTTTTAGTCTCCCGAAACCCTCCTTTGCTTTGCAGAAGGTCTTTGTCTTGCTTTCTCTAGATGGGCCTTATTGAGTGTGTTTCTTCTCCCCTCATGAAAGCCTTCTTCAGCTGCTCTTCTGTCATATGGAGATTTCTCCCATTGCTGGCCTTTGCCCTTGATACTTCTTTGCGCCTTTAAATTCTTTAATTGGCAGATGAGACAAACCTGATTCAGACTTCTAGATGGTAGCAACATTTATCACACACATGCCCTAATCTGCCCTTCTCCTTGGCACCTGCCTCTTCATCCTCTCAAAACCAAACCACACCCTGGCTTCCAACACACCCTTCAGCCTCAGACCTGGATGCCAGTGTTTACAGTCACACTTCCCCTTCCTCTTCCTGCTGAATGTAACTCATCCTTAAAAGTCCAGCCTTCTCACCTAACGGGCAAGGTAACGAACGGACCATGCCGAGTGAGATGAATATAGAAATAGACAGAACAATAGGGATGTGCCAAGGACAGGTACCACAAAAGAAAATTCAGTACAGCAGGCAGGTTGAAAGTGGGGAGGGAGGTCATTTCACATGGGTGTCTACGAAGGCTATCAGAGGAGAGGATGTTATTCTAAGCTTTAAAAGCCAAGTGGGACTTTACTAGCAATCAGGGCTGTGGTGTGACATGAGGCTGTCAGTGTGCTGTGGGTACATAAACCAGCAATCCTCACTGTAGAACTTAGCACTCCATCAAGCTGCTTTGGGGGCCAGGGCTGGGGTCAGGGTGGGAGGATAACAAGCTATGCAGGAAATCCATTGTTCTGCAGGCTGGTCAACCTTGCTGGACTTAGGGAAGTCTACAAAGGGGTCACCAGAGAGAGAGGTCCCTGAGCATCCCACTGCAGACTTCCTGGTTCCTCTGCCAGAGGGTGAGGTCTTGTCACCTTCTGGGTTGAAAGCTCCTCCACCAGAGCCATGGGAATTGTGCAAGGCCTCTCCTCCATCTGGCAGCGCCTTCAGGATGCCTGTGCCACCTTTTCCTTATAAACCAGGGAAATGACTAAATGTCCCATGCCAAGTTTTCAGGTTTACCAGATGTCTTTCTTAGTCTTTGCCGGACTAATCAGATGTGTAGGTGAAATGTACTTTACAGTCTAGAGGTTCTCAGGAAAGTGTGGGTGGAGTCTGACGTGTTCAGAGTAAACTAGTAATAAAAACACTGCTTAGTCTTAAGGGCAAAGACTTTGTAACATAAACATGTAGCACACTCTCAAAGTGTGTAGAGCTCCATTTTAGTTCAAAGATTTTTTTTCAGCCGGGTGGTGGTGGCGCACGCCTTTAATCCCAGCACTCGGGAGGCAGAGGCAGGCGGATCTCTGTGAGCTTGAGGCCAGCCTGGTCTACAAGAGCTATTTCTAGGACAGGAACCAAAAGCTACAAAGAAACCCTGTCTTGAAAATCAAAAAAAAAAAAAAGATTTTTTTTTCTTTAAATGTTCATACATAATATTATTGTTTCTTAAAAGAAGAGATGACTGTTTTCTCATATGGCCTCTAAATAGCAAATGGTGTTTTTGTATCTAACCTGCCGGCAACTAGGTCCAAAGCCGGCTCACCAGATGGAGAAAGTGCTGGTCTCGTGAACTGAGATCAGTGGAGAGTCCTAGCTCTTTTCTCTTCATATTGTGATAACCTTGGGAAAAGCAATTTAATCTGGATCCTAATTTCCTTATTTCCTCATTGGAGGTAAAACTACTAGCTTCAAACTTGTGATCAAGTTTAGATGCAATCACTAGCAATCATTTTTAAGGGGCTAACGTTTGTACAAAACTGTTATAAAAAGTCACTATTTCGAGTTTAATTATTTAAGAATTTATTTTATGTTATGTGTCTGAGTGTTTTGCCTGCATGTGTATCTGTGCACCACATGTGTACATGGTGCCCAAGGAGGTCAGTTATTAGAACCCTAAGAACTGGGGTTGCAGATGGTTGCAGTGTGGGTGCTGGAAACCAAACCCTGGTCCTCTGCAAGAACAACAAATGCTCTTGCTGACGGATGCATGTCTTTAGACACCATTGCTGGTTTTCTTTACTATCTAGCATGAACTGGAGGGTGAGGAACTTCAGGTTAGATCTCAGTGCAAAACAAAAGCAGAGTTGGGAAGATGGACCAGTGGGTAAAACACTTTCATATATGCTTGAGGACTGGTTAGATCCTCTATATCCACATAAGTACTGCAACCTGCAGAATCCCAGCATGCAGAGAGACAGGAGATCCCTGGACACATACGACATGCATACACATGCAAAAAGATTAATGAGTAAGAACCGACACATAATAAGTGAAAGAGAAATAAGTCCGCAGAGAAATGTAAGCTGGAATCAGAGAGATGGAAAAAGCTGAAGGAAGTGTGTAAGGGAGTGAGTCCACACAGGGACAAAGATGAGAAACTCCAGTCAGGCCTCCTCCGCTGTAGCTTTCTGCTGAGGGTAGAAAGGAAAGGGAAGATGAGCCGTGCTACAGACCCAAGTCACTAGGGTCACTCCCTCTCACGTCTTTATCTGCTAGGATCTTGCCCACGAGGCAAGCTTGATGTTTGCATGCAAGTGTTTTTGGAGGTTTGTTTTAGAGTGTCTAGGCTGGTGCTGGAATCAAAACCTAGTTAATGTTTTTGTTGTTGTTGTTGTTTATGGTCCAGAATATCTCGGGTTCCTTGTTTTGTTTTGTTTTGTTTTTGTTTTTGTCTGAGAGATAAGCAAAGAGCCCTCTTTGCCAAAGGTCTTGATCCGCCATGCTTACCTAGAATTTTTATTTTCCCTTCCTGCTTCCACTCAATCTTGCTCCAGTTTGCGATGTTCTCGCAGCAGCAGTTCAATGAGATGGGGTTGCTGTCGCACACCACCTTCCTCTCCTCCTTGGCCAGAATCCGGATGGGAGTGACATCTAGTCTTCTGGCATCCCCGTATTCAAAAATATCCAATGTCAGCTTGCAGCGATATTCACCTGTCAAGAATTCACAAGATTATGAATTATTATCACTCCTATGAATTTTTCTTAATAAAATCAAGCACCTCACATATCTTGGCATCTCAGGCTTGATTCAAGGACACCCCTGAAGGAATATTCAGAAACTGTCGAATCAGGCATTTCTAATGACATAAGGTAAAAAGTAGAAAAAGGTCTCCGTCGTGGCATTCTCAGGGACAAGTGTGGGAATATAAGACACAGGGAAACAAAGTTGGTAAGTCTGTGAGAATTGGAGGACCATGGATAATTCTGGCATGCATGCTATTTAATCCTGTGATAGAATGCAGAATCTGCAGAGATATGACAAGAGTTCATGCATGTATAGACCTCTTTATTGTTCAATTGGCCCTACTGGTTCGGAAGAACAGAACTGGCCCCACTGACATCTGGTTTTAACTGGAGTTATTAAATACTAGAATGTGTCAGGCTCATTGTTAATCTCTGAAATTTATGTTTTTGTGCTTGCTTGGAGTAGGCACGTGGGTGCAGGAAAGGCCAAAAGGAGGGATTACTTTAGGGAACAAGAACATTTTGGGGGACTAGATGTATTCACCACCTTCATTTTGGTGATGCCTTCTCAAGTGTATGTGTCCAAACCTAGTAAATTATATACTTAAAATATCTGCGGTATGTAATATGCCAATTTTATCTCAGCAAACTAAAATTTTATAGGTTAATTAAAATAAAACATCATAAGACTATACTATACACTAGTAAAATTCAAAATATATCAGTAGATTTTTCAATGTCATTAAAAACAGTATCCTGGGTCATTGGGAAGATGGTTCGCGGTCTGCTGTGCAGGCATGAGGATCTGAGTTCGGACCCTGGAACCCATCTAAAAAGATGGAAACGGTAGCGTGCATCTGTAACTCTAAAGGCGGAGACAGGTGGGCCACCAGCTCTCACTGCTGAGCAGACTGTTGGGTGCTCTTCAGTGAGAGACCCTGTCTCCAACACCAAGGTGGGGCGCAATGAAGAAAGACACTCTGAAGTCTGACCTCTTGTGGATATGTGGGGGGTCCCTGTTTCCTCAAGGCCTGTTGGCCACCAGTCTATGGGGACAAGGGGCAGAAGCAATGACAGAGAACTCTGTACAGCCTGTGAGCACGATGAAGACAGCTCTCCAGGAGACAGCTTCGGCGAATCTGCTCAACTTTATTCCAGAGTGCAGGGAATATGCAGGATTAAGATCGATAGCTGGAGAATCACCGAGTTTGTATTTAACGGCGCACTCCTATATTAAGCTCCCAGTAACCTTTAGTCATCCTCTGTGGAGCACGGCCCTATGGCAAGCCTCAGTGTCTAATTACCATATAAGCAGTGGAGGGAAAGCTTCTGCAGGGAACTGTGTCCAGGGTCATACTAGAGATAGCCAGGTATCCTGGCCTAGAGACGCTCTCCAAATAAGGTCAGACCGAGAACAGGGCCAGGGGAAGGAGTTACCCATGTCATCCATGTTGCCGAGCCTGAAAAGAGCTGCCAGACCACCCGAGGTATACTGCAACCTCCGACCGGCAGGGCATCCAGGCAGATATGCAAACACTCACACAACACTAGCATACACACAAATACACACACAGGAATGCCAGGGGACGACTTTTCCATTTTGGAACATGAGTCATCAGGCTTCTTGTGGACAGCTCAGCCCCATTCCCTGTGTTGTGGGCTGCCGCTCTGAGCACACCATTGAGTCCGTACCCCCCCCCCCCCCCCCCAGTCTCAGGTTGGAAGCTCACCGGCATCGCGCTTCGTGAAATTATAAATGGTGAGGCGGGAGACCAAGCTCATATTGTTGAGGACCGAGGTGTGGATGGAGAATCTGCCGCCGCTCTGGATCTCGGAGCGTTTCTCTCCGTAATACCAAGACGAGTTGGAGGACACGATTTCACTTTCACACTCCAGAACTACGCTGTCTCCCTCGAAGATGACTTCCGGTGTAACCGTGAACTTTGTTTCATCTGGAAATTCAGAGGAAAAGTGGGAGGGTTCCCCTTCGGTGAATGTGAACTGTGGAGCCGGCTCTCCAGACTATGCCTCTCCAGGAATCTTTTTTTTTTTTTTTTTTTTTTTTTGGTTTTTCGAGACAGGGTTTCTCTGCGGCTTTGGAGCTGTCCTGGAACTAGCTCTGTAGACCAGGCTGGTCTTGAACTCACAGAGATCTGCCTGCCTCTGCCTCCTGAGAGCTGGAATTAAAGGCGTGTGCCACCATCGCCCAGCCCTCTCCAGGATTCTTGAGGGTTCTTCTCAGTGTCTGCCGGTCACAATCCTGCCCACAGGCTCCCCTTACCACTGCCTGAGTAACCATGGTCCCACTGCCTGCTGAGGCACCAGACAGAGCCCATGTCTGGAATCCCTTGGAAGAGAGTACCTAAAGTCATGTATTTCCTACCACTGTTTTAAATGATCTCAAACAGCAGTTTGGAAGCCTCCCCTTGCATCAGAACCATCCGGGGTTGAGACTTTGGTGAAATACAGATGGGTCTTTGTAGGGCTAGTGTGGTACAAACAAGCTCTGAGACCCTCCCTCTAAATCAACAATGGACCCAACTTAGTGTCAGCATCTGCTGTGACTTTGGCCCCCATCACTGCGGGGTTAATTAGCCTTGCATTTATGGATCTTTTGATTATCTGAACATAGGAAACTCACAGAATTTCTATTATAAATCCCTGTTCCCATCTCCTTGACTCTCCGGCTTTTGTTTGTGAGTCAGTACTCCAGGCCTCTGTCATAAGAAATATTACCATGATTTCCTGGGCCTTCGTCCTCTCCCTTATTTATTTATTTATTTATTTATTTATTTAGTGTATATAGTAGTCTATTACATTATAGCATTTTTTTTTTGTCTGTTTCAAGACAGGGTTTCTCTATGAAGCCCTGACTGTCTTGGCACTTGCTCTGTAGACCAGGCTGGCCTTGAACTCACAGAGATTCCCCTGCCTCTGCCTCCTGAGTGCTGGGATTAAAAGTGTGCACCACCATGTCTGGTCTGTTATAACATTTTAGCAATAATTTATTTTGTTCCATCTCCTCTTCCGAACCTCCCTCTGACCCTCCACTTCTACCCTGGGAGCTCCTGTTTGCTATCTTGTCACACAGTAACAGTTAGGATCTACATAGAAGAGGAAACATGACATGCAGTTCTTGTTTTTCTGAGTCAGGTTCACCTGGCTTCGTATTTTCTAGACTCATCTATTGTCATGGAGTTTTCATAATTTTATCTTTCTTGACAGCCTAGGAAAGTTCAGTTGTACGAGCTTTCATTACCTGCTTCTTTGTATATAGTAGTCTATTACATCCCTTGATGTTGTGAAGAGTGTGGCGGCACACGCCACCATGCGAGAACCTCTGCCCTGGCTCTAATCAACCGTCACCATGCCTACCCCAGATGAACATGTGTGAGGATGAAGCACATTCCACTTACTGCTCGGCGTTCCTTGGAAGGAGCTGTAGTCCATTCTGTAGGTCTGATTGAGGTTCTGTGTGACATGCTCATTGGCTTTGTGAATTGATCCGGGCAGTGGTGACGATTTAAACTGGGCCTCGAAGTTCACAACCACGCTGCCTTTGCTGCACAGAGACCACTCAGTTCAGTGAAGCAGAAACTGAGCTAGGAGGGGTCTAGATCCTTGTGGCTCTTTGCATGGAAAAGCAAAAGAGCAGAAGCCAATAGTACTATTATCTGCAAGGAATCACTAGAATAAGCCTGTCTTCAAATGTTAATCGGTAGCCCAAGGCAAGACTTACCAGGAATACAAATGAGAAAAGTGACCAGATGGGAACAGCGAGCTGAACCCACAGGTTTCTAGGCTCCAGGAGCACCAGAAAGCCCTGCAATCCTGCCTGCCTAGCACAATCTTCTAGCAGTGTCTTTAACACTGCTACCTGATATGATTCCACTTTGACATTTCCAACTCTCAGAACTAAGGATGTATTTCTGTCTGCGAAACGCTTGCATGCATGAAATAAGTACACCTTTGTGCTTCCTTGCTGAGAAGGAGATCCACCCTAAAGGATGCGCCTCCCTATTCTCACCTCTATCAAGCTGCTCCTGCCGAGCACCCCCCAATGATAGCCCGAGGATGTTTGATTTTCTTCCCTGGTGGATTGGTTTCTGCCCTCATAGAAAAATGAACAAATGACATCATTCTTACGTGAAGTGTGTCACAGTCACCGATTTGAATCCTGGTAAAGTTTTGTAACCCTCTCGGAACTAGAAAATAAAACAAGAGAAAGGTCATGTATCAAAGACTAGTGAACAATACCAAGGCTTACTCATACTCATGATCAACCCGGGTCTGACTTTATTTTATGTATCTTGTTAGTGGTGGCGTTGTCAAGGCCTTGAAGTAATTTCTAATAATTTATATCAGCTATTAGAGAAGCAAACAGTAGATTAAGTGCTCAAAAAGATGCTCAGGGAAATGCAGGAGAGAAGGTAGAGGGGCTGTGAGGGGAGAGAGAGAGATTGAACAGTTGCAGCTGGGAGACAGTTACCACTCGCAAAGACTTCTGTCTTTAGCTCAGTTACTATAAAATGTTCCTAGAGTGAATGCCTACTGACTTCCAGGGGTAGAGAAGTTGGAAACTCTCTGAGCTGGAAGTTGGACTTCAGGCTTGAAGCCTTGAGTTGCCCTGCCCAGGGAGGATCCTTATCTATGTAGGAAATCCCTGCCCACTTGGGGGGCAGTGCCGTCCACTAGGCAGTGTTCTGAGCTAAACGAGACAGGAGAATTCTAGAATGCCTGAAGAGCAGACCTGAGCTACCTACCTACCTCTCCTGGACCAGGCTCCCAAGCCTCAGAATTGATTTTGGTGAAGTGATTTCACCAAATCTTATCTGAATTGTTTTTACTCGGGGGAAGGGTCAACTGATAGGCCAAGGTGATGCCCTGTCCTCTGAATGCTATTTAATTTGAGTACTTCTCAATTCTCCTTCTCAGGTGGGTTTGCATAATTTCACTTACACCTTCGATTACATGTGTGTAAGCACCCTGTCCACTGGAATGGACTTATCTTGTTCTACGTAAACACTTCCTTGTGTAAACAACTCCAGCAGCTCAAACCTACCGCTCTTTCCAGGTCAGTCTTGTAGGACCTATAGAGGGCAGAGGATGAATTCTTGAGGTCTTCTTGAAATCCTATGTTCAGTCTGACTTTGATTTTTAAGGTAATATACGCTGAAAAACACAGGGCAAAATGTAACTGTCTCATTGGTGTTTGAATACAAACAATACAAAGAGACATTTGCTTGAGGTAAAGTTGAATACCCATTTAACAGATATTTAAAGAACAATTGCATACCATCAGAGAGCTGGCAGAAAGGTCCCTGGGGAGGAAGTCCTTTCAGACAACTGCAGGAGCGGCCTGACAGGGCACCGCCATGCTCTGGACAAGTTAGATTGTGGAGACACCTTTCCCGGGGCCACACATAGCCTTTCTCGCAGGAGCATAAGAGGTTGTTTCCAGCAGGTGTGCATACTGCCGTCAACCAAAAGAGGAGAGACAAGACGGTCACTGCCCTTACATTTGTAGATTGCAACTGCCTATACTTACAGCAAATCTTAGCTCAATTCCACACTGACCTTCTGGAGAGTTCAATAGAATCTCCTGAGGTTCAAGTAGGCACATATGCATCACAAAACCATTAGGTGAGGTCATCTGAAAGGTGACGCTTGAGTGACTTCAGACTAGCAAATCCTTTATTTTTGGGTAGACATGTTTTATATTACACGGCCACTAGGTGTCTATGGTGAGTGGATTCCATGATGTAGAACAGTGGTTCTCAACCTGTGGGTCATGACCACTTAGACAAACCTCTAGCTCCAATATTTTTTAAAAAAATTACAATTCATAACAGTAGCAAAATTACAGTTATGAAGTAGCAACAAAAACAATTTGATGGTTGGGAGTCACTACAACATAAGGAACTGTATTAAAGGGTCACAGTGTTAGGAAGTTTAAGAATCATTGGTACAGAGGAAGGAGCAGCCAGCTTCCAAGATGACCTTTGAGCATCTCTGCCTCTAGGAATTCACAGCCTTTTGTGGCACCCACTTATAAACATGGTGAAAGTGATAGTGTCATTTAGCATATTCTTTCTTTCCCCATTCCTTCTCCTTCCCTCTCTGTCTTTTCCTCTGGAGAAGTTGGCTGCATGGTGCCAAGACCTGTCAGGAAGAGACCACGTGGTAAAGAATTAAGGTCTCTAAACAGTAATTACTTGGGAACTATAGTTGGCCAAAAACCACCTGGTGAACTAGAAAGTGGATTTTCCAGCCCAGTAGGGCCTTCAGAATCAGAGTTCCTAAGCTAGAACCACCTACCCCAACTCCTGCTCCAAGATGTCAGACCCCCAGAAACTTCAAGATAGTGCGTGTCTGTTGTTCTATAAGGCTGAAAGCAATCTGTTACACTGAAATAAACACCAAATGCGGAATGAAAATAAATGCACAGCCCAAATGGACTCTGATCTCACTGGAGACATTAAAAAAGGAAGGAAAAAACCTCTGAAAACTTAAATCAGTGTCTAAGGTAGGAACATAGAGATTCTTTGGGAGACACTCTGCAGATGGGTGCCCATGGGTCACTACTCAGAGAAAAGTCACTAAATGGTTACCGAGTTACAGTGGTGCTTTCCAAAGAACAGAACTATTATAAGACACATGGCAGCCTCATCTATGGGACACCAGTTCTTTGGGGATGGTCCCCTGAGACAAATGAAGAACAGTTTCATTTCAGTAGGGAGTCATCAAACACAAAGTCAAATCATGACTTGGGACAATTTTGCTTAAGGTCTTGCTTCTGATTCAGGTATGTGCCTGGCTCCTATTTCCTGACCTATAATACCCCAAAGAAAAGAAGTCACTGCTTATAATCTGCTGAGACCCTCCCTGCTACACCTACACATTGTTCAGAGGGAAAGGATTCAGTAATTTATCCGGAATGGTCTGTCTATACCTTGGGGGCCACTTTATCACAACCACCAAGGAAATCTCTGGTCATCATTTAAAATAAGGTGATGACTGGCTGGGAAATTTACTGCTAGCAAGTTCATTCTGAGAGGTAGGGGGTCATAAAGTCACACAGTCATTACACTTGGCTCCCATGTTTAACTTGATTTAGAGGACAGCAGTCTGCCTTTCTCACAATATGCCCAGCCATCTGCTCTCAAGCAGTGTGTGTCTGGCTCACCTGTTGTCATTGCTATGCTCATGATGTCTGTGGCTGGGTCCGTGCCACTTCCTTGAATTGGAAAACTGAGGCTGTTCAAGTGAGCTTTGACAGATTCCAGGAAGGAGATGTTTTCAAAACTGATCTCAACTTCCACGGTGTATTCTTCCTCCACGGGACCACTCACTGCAACTGAAACGAAAGTTTCAGGAAGACTATGAGCATTTGTGGAGGCAGGAGAGAGAGCCTGGTGGACACCACAGCAAGGAAAGCTAGTGACACATTCTTGTAGATACTGGGCACGTCAGCTCATAGGAATTACTAATGGATCCTTTGAGAGAAAAAGAAAACTTTGTCTACACTACTCGTTCCCAACTACTACCCTCAACCTTGATGTCCAAGGTCAAAGACCCTGCACAGAGAGCAAAATATGCCTGGGGCAAGACTAGTCGTAGCAGCCTGGAAGGAAGACTCTCACACCTGTGCAACACACCTGTGCAGGGAGTCAGAGTTGTGATCTCCACCCGCAGGAATGAGTTGCGGCCTTTATAACATTGTGTAGTTAGTTTGCACATACTCTAGGAGCTGAACAGGCATGCACACATGCTTGAAAAACTTCTAGCATTACCCCTCCCTGTTAAGTTTCTTTGGCCTTAGCTTGTACACAGGCACACAGCAGGTTCTTTATTGTTGCTTCACATCCCCAGGATCCTGAACTTGAATGGCAGTCAGCAAAGGTTTGATGACTTGAAAAGTGACATGCAAAAGATTCCCAGGTCTTTGTCGCTTTTTCAGATTGTCTCCAGGTGATTGAATGCCAGCTCTCCAAATAAATATACTCCACACACACACACACACATGCGCGCGTGCGCACGCAAACACACACACACACACACACCAGCAGGCTATAGATATGTTATCTAACCTGTCAATGGTTCTTCTACAGTTTACAATGCCACACCATATCCTGACCACCAATTGTAAGCTTCTGGGACAGAAACTGATTCCTTCCCTTCCCTTCTGGGGACCTCACTCATCTGTCCTGGAGCTCACCATATGGCAAACATGTGCCCAATCACTTCTTACTAAACCTGGCCCCTACGTCAAGTCGTATTTTCGCTCCACTGGGCTAAATATTGCTATAGTCTGTTGGAATACATACCCGGGTCTGAAGGTATAGGCTCAGTTATTATCTCACGAAAAAGTTTGAAAGATAAGATTTTTTTTCACACAGAGGTATGGAGAATATTTTAAATAGGTAAAGAAATGAATGAATACTTTAAAACCCTTCTTTAAAATGTAAGTGAAATCAGATAACATGATCTGTATTTTAACATGAAGTTAGAAGTCTGTGTCTTCTTCGTAAAGACAATTGCTTTCCTGTGAATCAGAATGTTTATTTCAACCACCCCGAGGACCATTGCTGGGAAACACTGAGACAGTTCAGAATAGAAAACTCCAGTGTTAAATATCTGCTGCTGGAAGCTAGAATGGATGTTTCTTTGGAGGAATAACGTCCATTGGTCTTAGGATATAGCCTTGCTGGAAGTTATTTCCTTTTGGCGTCACTCTGCTGCAATGAAGCCGCTATTCCTTTAAAGAACTGTGCTGCAGGTGTTTTAGGAACTTATTTAACGGTGTATTTCCTCCTTATACAAGCAGAATCAGAAGGGGTTTAAGTTGGCTGTGGTAACATGAGATTGTCATCCTGCTGCCTGGGCAGTGGAGGCAGGAGGATCATGAGTTCAATACCACCTTCAAATACACAGCGAGTTTGAGGTTCATCTGGGATTTGTGAGACCTTGCCTCAAAATCTAAACTAAAATTTTAAAAACTAAAATTTAAAAGTTACTTGTAAAATCTTATATTATCTAGTCTTGTTTATCATGACATAGTAATATGTCTCAAGTTTCCTGGTTTTTTGTTTGTTTGTTTGTTTATTTTATTTATTTATTTATTTATTTTTTAGTTTTTCCGAGACAGGGTTTCTCTGTAGCTTTGGAGCCTGTCCTGGCACTAGCTCTTGTAGACCAGGCTGGCCTCGAACTCACAGAGATCCACCTGCCTCTGCCTCCCGAGTGCTGGGATTAAAGGCGTGCGCCACCACCGCCCGGCTGTTTGTTTATTTTTTGAGTCTCGAATGTTCTGTAATGAAATAAGCTTCCTGGAGGAGCAGCTAATCTTAACTCGTATGACTCTAACTCCGGACACCATCTTGCCCACTAGGAACATTTCCACTATGGCAGCTGCACAGTATTTACATCTGCCTTCCAGAACATTCTTTTTCCTGAAAAGTCATGTGACCATGTTTATTCCCTCTGGTAAATTCACTAGCTCAGGGTCCTCCCATGAATGCAAACAGGATTTCCTAAACGGCGGCTGCTCTGGATGGATGGGGTCAACAACGATCCTCTATCGTCGACTTCGTTGCTTGTGTGACTCTATCCCAACCCAATACCTATCTGAGGGTCCTCCTTCCTGTGCCCCTTCCAGACACCATGACAGAACAAGTGTGGGCCCGCAAAGCAATAGCTACCCACGAAGAGCAGCTCCTGGTTAAAGCTGAGGGAGTTCTGTTTAGATTTTCACAAGACTGAACCGAAAGCACAAAACTCGGAGTAAAGGATCCATGACTTAGGGAGAGTCAGCCTTTGGGATTCGCGCAGCTGTTAGTGCTAGCTGCTACGGTCCTCTTTTCCCGTCCACCTGCCATGTTCTCCAAAGCCCAGAAAGCTTTAGAGTTACCCTTAGGTGACTTCTGCATCATCCTTCCCTTGAGGCTGATGAGGACCAGGAATCTACAGTTCCACCTCCTCCTCCCCCTTTTTCAAGTGGTCTTGCTGTAAGCCCAGGCTGGCCTGGAGTTTACTGCGTAGCTTAGGCTAGCCTCTAATTCATGTTCCTTTTGCCTCTACCCCCGCCTCCTAAGTGTTAGGATTTTCAGTGTGTGCCACTATGCCTAGCTGGAAATGTTTATTTTTGAGAAGTCAATTCCCTAAAGAAGTCTCAGACACTGCAATTGGGTAAGCTGCAGGCTTTTCTATCACCTACTCCTGACCTTGACTGAGAGCGACTCACATCTAGGGGGTTATGTTCCCAGGTGAAGCAAACTGTGTTCTTTAGATAGAGAGGTAGGCCTGGATATTCAAACCTTCTTACGGGGATCTGATGTGCCGGGGGCTGGAGCTCTGACACTCTAAACCAAAGGATGAAACAAGGAAAGTGGCCCTTGGAGAACTACTTTCACAGACTCACTTTTGGGTTGTTTTGTTTTTTATGTTCAGTCATTCGCTGTTGCTCCTGATGGCAAACAGGCACCTCCTTGCTAACTTTGCTTAGCCTCTTGTGTTTTTACGACTTATTTCTATCTACTTAAACCTGAGTATGCCAAGGACATGCAGGGCCTTTGGAGACCGGAAGTGGGAGTCAGATCCTGCAGGGCAGGAGTTTCAGGCAGTTATGAGCTGCCTAATGGGGGTGCTGGGAATGGAACTGAGGTCCTCCTGCAGAGCAACAAGCATTATTAATTTCTCCGACTCCCTGTCTACCCAATTTTACCTCAATAGAGTGGACACGGGCTTCCTCCTGCCATTCAGAGATACCAGCTGAAGGAGGAGACAATACAGTAGCAACAGCAGTGGCCATTTGCCCTTGTCTGGTGGGGTAAAGGGCTGTGACGGCGCCATGCTTACCTTCACTGCCAAACCTGAGGCACAGAGAGCTGAAATCCTGCCGTCATATCTGAGCTAAGATTAAAAAGGACAGTTTGCTGACTCCACGGTCCATTTTCTCATGTTTAATCACACCCTGCTACAACTCTAACAGAAGATAAAAAAAGCAATAATTTCACAAAGCCCTACAGCACTATAAAAATATATTATTATTAAATACAGACTTGTAATAAATCAATATCCTTAATTATTTTTTAAGTCAAGTTCAAAACCAAAATTATTAATAGTAATCTGTCAGCACCATAAATGTCTTAGAAATCCCAACTCAGAACAAGGGCTTTTGACCACCAGCCTTGCAGGCGTTATATGTGTCTGTTCCTCGATTTACTGATTCTCCTGCAGCTTTGCCATTCACCGAATACCTGTTTCCCAGCACTGTGATAGAAGCCCCAGCAAGATCTCCTGAGTAAATTGGGAGCATGGGGACCATGGGAGAGGGTTGAAGGGGAGGGGAGAGACAGGGAAGGAAGCATAGAAAAATGTAGAGCTCAGTAAAAATCAATAAAATTAAAAAAAAAAAGAAGCAAAGTCCTGTCCTCCTTTCCCTCCTCAGCTGATCAGTTTGTATCTTAATATCAGACTGCTCTGCGTGAGGTAGAAGAAGGAGGCAGAGGTAATAGGATGATGATGATGATGTAGTGATAACAATGGCGATGGTGATCAAGATGATAGTGACGGTGAAGAAGAAGAAGAAGATGATGATGAACAGCTAGGAAAGATATCTTTTATAGCTTCATGCATGGAGTAGAGACTTGAATGAGGAGAAAGAGGCACGAGAAAGCCATCGGAAGAACATTGCTCTGGGAAGAACAAACCACCACAGCTGCTCTGAGTGAGCTGCAGCCCTGTCGGCTTCCTAGATGAACATAAGATGACTCCCTCTCAGCCAATCCTTCTCCACAGATCTGAGGATGGCATGAAGGCTCCAGGAACCGGGGCAAATAAGACAACTCACCCAGCAGCCCAGGTATCAATCAGTATGATATCTTCTTGCTTCCCTCAGGCAGATGGAATGCCTTGGGTTAGGAATGTCAAACTCAAGGGTCTGGAGATGACTCAGGGATTAGGAGCATTTGCTACCCTTGCCAAGGACCTGGGTTTGGATCCCAGCACCCACATGATTGCTCACACCCATTTGTAACCACGGTTCCAGGCATCTCGTGCTCTCTTCTGATCTCTGCAGGCTCCAGTACACGTGTGAAGTGTATATGCATGAAGGAAAAATACTTAGGCACGTAAAAATAAAACAAATATAAAAACAATTTTAAACAGAAAAAAGAAAGGACAAATTCTGCCTTTCTGTCCCCTCATGAACCCGAAGACCTCGGAGCCTGGGAAAGTGACATTCTTTGTCCTGCTCTTGGCTACAAGGGACTCGGGAGGGTCAGACCACAGCCCCCCTCTTTCCGTGTGTGTATCTTTGATGACCCTCACCCTTCTCTGCCATCTGAACCAGCTGCCTCCTGACAGCTCCCTATATTTTCTTTGTCTCCATATCCTTCACCCTTTGTGTTGTTTGTCTGCCTTTTTCTGGCTCACACTGCCCCGAGTGGAAGGTAACACATTCCAGGTGTCACTGGTGTCAGACGATGCCCATCCGCTGGCCCGGGAGACACTAACTAACCAGGATTTCCCCTCTCCTTTCCCACAAGTCACTGCCAGCCTCGAAGCACTTATCTTAAAGAGACATTTCTGGAAAGTTGGCCACCAACTGCCACAAGCACTGCTGGGTCTTAATCGCATCTGTTTAAGCAAACAATACTATTTTTGCCTAGCAACTGATGGGAACTAAGGCTTCTCAGCAACAGCACTTAAGTAGATGCATGAATGAATCTCCTGCCTGCAAAAGGACACCTGCCAACCTTGTCCAGGAGAAGGGAGCTTGTGTGGCGGGGCAGTGATTTCACACACACTGCTGATGATTTCACACACACATGCACACACACACACACGTGCACACACACACACGCATGCACACACGAACACATACACACATACACGCACATGCATACATACACATACACATACACATACACACACGCACACACACATACACACACACACATAATGATGTGTATCAGTAGTAAAAATAAAATTCACCTTTATTTGACCATATCTGACCCTTTAAGTGTTAAAAAAAAACTGAGAATTTTCAAAAAGAAAACAAAAGCAAGAAAACCAAAGTCAGAACACAAATTATCGTCAATGCTGAGTCAAAAACTGAACCATGCCCTACATCAACCCCCCACATCAGGCAGAGAGAACCCAGCCCTTCCTCTCACCCCATCACCAATCTACTCGCAGAGCACACAGCACATTATCCCAGAGTGCAGCTCTGAGCCCCAGGCTCTGTGCTACAGACTCCGAAGTGCTCACTATGTTCTGATCCCAGGTCACAAGGGGCCCATGCAGCCAACCTGTCACAACTATAAAAAGTCAGGATTTCCTCACAGGCAGCCAGAGACCTGCCCACTCCAGTAAGGGCTTTACTCTGGATGGAAGGTGTGAGGACGCTGCCATGCCCAGCAGCTCCATGCATGCGGGTTCCTCCCTCCCTGCCCTTCCGGTTCCCACTAGTCAGCTGATTGCTTTATCTAATAATTCAGCAAAGACCACCTGGATCAATGACCCTTTTGGGAGTTTTCATCCGTCATTTTTTGATGCCAGCCTCCAGCTGTCCTGGACCCTACTTCCTGATGTGATAGTGACACAATCTTGTGTGTTTTCACCCATTCTTGCCCCTCTTTCTCTCTTAAGCCACACTTTACTCTCTCAAGGAGCCCCAATTATATTCTTGCCTCTGTTCTTGGGGTCTGTGCAGACTCCTCACCATGGAAAGCGTTTTCCTAAAATGCCAGCTAGTGTGTCATAGCATCACACTCATGCCTTCGGGCCATCCTCTGGGACTGGTACCAACTGAGCACCCTTTCTGTGCTGGGGGCACATCAGGTCCCTTCAAACAGAGGATTGTGTGTGTGTGTGTGTGTGTGTGTGTGTGTGTATGTATGTGAGCATGTTCATGTATGTGTTCATGTATGTACGTGTGTGAATGTGAGCATGTCATGTATGTATGTACATGGTGTGTGGATGTGAACATGTTCTGTATGTGTTCATGCACGTATGTGTATGTGTGAGTATGTTCATGTATGTGTGTGTTCATGCATGTATGAGTATGTATATAAGCATGTTTATGTATGTATGTGTGTGAGTACATATGGAAGCCAGAGGTCAGCCTTGGGTGTCATTCCTTGGGATTCTGTCCACTTTGTTTTAAGAGACAATGTCTCTCACAGGGACCTGGGATTTATCCAGCTAGACTGGCAGGCTGGTGAATCCCATGGATCCTCCAGTGCTGGGATTACAAATGAGCCCCAGTCAACCTGGCTTTCTATATGGATGCTGGGGCTCAAACTCAGGTCACATGACTGTGTGGTGCCACTTTACCAACTGAGCTGTTTTGTTAGCTCCACGTCTTACCAGTTCTTCAATCATCTTAAAGCCCTTGAAATATAATAACTCAGATCCATGTATAAAGTATATGATGGATACATGCATGTGATGTGTGGTATGTACACATACATGTACACACACAAATACACGTCTCAGGAGGACAATGAGCCTGGGCATCTGACTTGTCACATATGTAGACATCTGTAATGTCCTGAGAATAAATATAAATCTTGATTCAGTCATTAATGATGTATTGAGGAGTGAGACATGAATGTGATATATATATCACATATAATTATATATGTGTGTGTGTGTGTACATATGGAAGCCAGAGGTCAGCTTTTATATTTATATATATATACACACACACACACTATATATATATATATAGTGTGTGTGTGTGTATGAAAGATGATTTTTATGCAAAGTTTTAAAGATGTGGTCCAATGATGCAGATGGAAACTCCATTGCCAGGTTTATTTCTTCTAGAACCTTCATACCTTCTGCTCTCATGGCCTCAGCAAGGGAGGCACACATGTACCAGAACAGGTTTGCCGTCCTGACAATCTAACACCCACCCGAACTCCTCCCTCGAAGAACACAGCAGGCCAGGCTCAGGCAGCTGCTAAGTACGGCCACCTGTAAAGCTCCCACCGCCTGCTTCTGTCACTCAGCCGGAGACTCCCATTCTCATCACAACTTACAGTTCTACTGTCAAGGCCCAGAAACTGAACTTTCTATGATCATTTCTTACTTTGGTGGTTCTGTAAAAGTACCAAGGCAAATCCATCATCTGCAGAGGACGGGTTGATTCTTTAACACTCTCACTGACGCTAGGGGCCTGAGAACACAGGGCACCGTGGATAATAAACGGAAAACATGTGTTCATGGTGACTTATCACTGTCATGATTGTTTTGAGTGAAAACATGCCTGGAAAAATTTTGGAATGTTCAAATCCCTAGATGTGCGAGTATTTCCTGCCCCGGAACTACCTCCTCGTGTGGCTCACAGGAGTGATAGACAGCCAGGCTCAGAGGAGTTGGGAGACCAGCTGCTCCTGGGGGAGCTGGGGGCCGGAGCCCTGGCAGACCGTGGTAGAAACCCAGAGCTGGGACTCCTCCACGCCTGGCTCCATTTCGAACCATGAAAGCCTTCCACAGTACAAATGGACACAGCTCTGACTCAGTGCCTGTCCCAGGGGAGTCCACAGGGTTGAGGGCATGAGGGAGGCATTGTACTTGTTTACAAACACACAGCTAGAGGCTGGCTTCAGGGGAGGAAGTAGAGGGGACATCAGAGTCCGTTGGGAGAATGAAGTGAGGAAAAACTGCAGGAGAAATGAAGAAGAGAGTGAGCAGGAGATGGGAGAGAGGAAAGAGAAAGACAAACGAGGGCAGGGAAGTGCAGCAGGTGGGTTTAAAACAAGGTGAGATGGAGCTGTGGAGGGAGGTGGCACTGGAGGGCAACTGGGGAGAGTGACAAGAGGCTGAGAGAGTAGTCATGGGAAGAAAGGGGTGGCAAGGTGTCTCTGTGGCCACTTAACACCGTTTGAGAAAGCTGAAAATGGGGTTCCTTACAGTTACTTTTAGCAAACGAAAAAGACTGTTCCCCTGAGTTCCTCGGAGACTGAATCATAAAGAACACAATGTTTTTAAAAAGTTGCCCCATAGTCTAATTTGGAGGCCTGGAATCCCAGCCACTTAGAAGGTTTTGAGGCAGGAGGATCCCAAGTTCCAGACCAACATGGGCAATTTAGCAAGAATCTCTCTATAAATTACAAACAAACACACACAAATGTTGGTGTGGAGGTTTGAGTACAAAAGGCCCCCATAGGCCTACAGAGTATGGCACTACTAAGAGGTGTGGCCTTGTTGGAAGAAGTTTGTCACTGGGGGTGGGCTTTGAGTTGTCAGACGCTTAAGCCAGGCCCTGTGTCTCTTTCTGCATGCTGCCTGCGGATCTGGCCATAGAATGCTCAGATATTCTCCTGCCTCTGGTCTGCCTGTGTGACACCATGTTTCTTGCCATGTTGACAATGGAGTAAACCTCTAAAATATAAGTCAGCCCCAATTAATCCTTTTCCTTTATAAGAGTTGCCGTGGTTATGGTGTCTTTTCACATTGATAGAACTTGGACTAAAACAGTTGGAAGTAAAGTACTTCCCTTAGCGTAAGCATTAGGACCTGAGTTCCATCCCCGGGACCCACGTTTACAAACCTGGACATGGTGCTACCACACACTGCAGTCCTAGTGCTCTAGAGGGAAAATCAGGTAGACCTCTGGGGCTCTGGCTGGCCAGCCAGTCTAGCCTGCTGGGGCTGGGGGTGGAGTGCTTCCTGACCAGTAAGAAACACTGTCTCAACAAACAAGGTGGATAGCTCCTGATGGCCGGCACCTCTAACCTACACGTACACTCGTATGCATACATGCATTAAACAAACAAACAAACAAACAAACACATAACAAAAGGGATGGAGATAGTGTGTTTGCCTGGTGACATCAGGCCCATACCCTGTATGAGAGACAGGGAGGATCAATTGTAGAGCTACAGCAAATGCCATTTGGTCGGTTTATAAAGGACTCCACGCAAGAAGCAACACAAACCTGCTCGTTTCTGCCTCACTGCCTCTTCTCCGACTAGGTCATGTTCATGGAGAATCTGGAAGAACAATTTGAAACATGTTAGTGGATACTGGGAAACTCTCTCCCCTTGGCTTCCCACTCACAGGCCGCAAACCATCACACCTGAGCAAAGGTGCAGATCTGGGGTAAGCACACAGGTATGTGTTTGTATACATCAGACCCTAGATCCAGCAGCAGAAGAACTTACTGCTTCTGAGCCTCTTGGCATCTCTGGTCTGTGAGCCCTGTCTGGAAACAGACACCAGACTCCTCTGATCTGTGCTCTGTACCTGAGACGTTAGCCCTGAGTTGGGCCAGTGGTCAGTAACCTGAGTCCATCTCCCCACCTTTTCCCAGCATTCCGCTTGGCTGGCTGCAGTATTTCTACTGTTGTTCAGGCTGCTTAACCACTGCCTGCTTAGTCATGACAGTCCCCTCTGAGGCCTCGTCCTCCTAGACTCCAGATGGCTTCGTGTGGATATGTGCCCAGGCCTCTTTCTAGCTTTGCTGCTGTAAGGAAGCTACTGATATTCACTTTCCTTTTTTGTGAAATGGGAATAAGGACAGTGTCAACATCAAAGGACAGTTACAGGCTTAAGTGAACCCCAAAATGGTATGGGGTGAGTTCTAAGCAAATTTGAGTTATTATGATGTACAGTGGTTAAAAGAAAAGACTTGGACAGGGACCGCTTTTGGTTTTTCTCCATCAGTTGAGGCTTATGGGCATAATGATTGCTGGTTGATGTAGGAGGTCTGAGCCCACTATGGGCGGGACCATTCCTAGGCGGTCAATCTGTGCTATATAAGAAAGGCAGCTGAGAGAGCAAGCAGAGGGAGTAAGGCAGGAAGCGGTGTTCCTCCTGGCTGCAGTTTCTACTTTAAGTTTCTTCCATGGCTTTTCTGGATGGTGGACTGTACGCTGTAAGGTGAAATAAACCCGCTCCTCTACAAGTGGCTTTTAGAAACAAACTAGAATGGTGGATAAAAGAACTTGCCGTGCAAGCGTGCAAACATGCAAGCGTGCAAGCATGATGACCTGAGTTCAAATACCAGAACCCCAGTAAAAAGTTGGAAATGACCTCACACACTTACAACCCCAGTAGAGAGGGGAGCGGAGAGAGGAGGAGAGCTGGGATTTGCTGACTCCCAGGCTAGCTTTTCATCGATAAGTTCAGCGAGAGCTTCTCTCTCAAGAGAATAAGACAGAGAGTGACTGAGCAGGGCACCAAACATCCTCCTCTGGCCTCCACACACACAGTCCCATGTACACACTCGTGCACATGCCCCTCCCCCCAAAACAAAGACTCCACTGACGCTAAGCTCCAGTCTGAGTTCCACCATCAGATAGCGGTGTGGCCTCAAACAAGTTATTGAGCCTCTATGGCTCTCTCTATCAGGACCATGGAGATAAATGTAGGTCATTGCAAAGGTCAAATGGTTACTATGCATATAGAGGAGAAAGCTTTGGTAGCACGTAAGCACTGTCTAGAATCAGATGCCACACTGTTTTGGGATACTTCTCGCCTGTCTGTACAGTGCTACCTGGTTCTTCTCAAGTCTGCCCTTTCCACCACCCATCTGTAGTGAATAGTCCGTTTTGTGGATGGGATCGGTTTCCACTCAGTAGCTAGTAACCAAGCTTTCCCCTTGCCTTGACCTAACATGGCTTTTCTCTTTCCCATTGCTTCCTGCCTGCAGGGAGACTCCTGGGATATCACACAAAGCAAGCTCCCCACGAGGCTCAGCAAACAAGCTTCGTTTCTTTGATGTTTTCCCAGATGGAGCCTGCACACAGGGAGTGTCCGTGTCCGCTGAACACCAGACAGGGTTAAGCACGTCCGCATCGACTGGGTGACCTGCTGTGACTGGCTAGTTCACTTGCTGTCACTCAACTCTAACAAAGTCCCTAAGATGCATCACACACTCTGCAGGACAATCCAGGGAGCTATGACTATCCACATCTCACCAATAACAAAGCATCGGAACAGGAGATCCAATATGTTGCCTAAGATCACTGTGTTTCCGGACCTAGAATCCGAATTTAGCTAGCCTGACTCTGGTGGGCTTAGGAGACACACTGGGAGACACACAGGGCTCCTCTCAGGGAGCCTGTCTTCCCTTGTCATCTCTCCCTGCCCTAACGTCTCTTCCTCCTCTTTCTCCCCTTCTCCTTTTCTTTCTTCTTGTTTTATTTTTAGTTTTCTCCAGACAGTGTTTCTCTATGTACCCCTAGCTGTGCTAGAACTCACTCTGTAGACCACAATGGCCTCTAACTTAGAGATCTGCCTGCCTTGTCTCCAAGCCCTGGGATTAAAGGTATGTGTGCCACCTCTCCCTGCTCCCTTTCTTATTCTTGAGAAACAGTTTTCATGGCCGGTCTCTCTCCCCTTTCTAAGCTACAACTCTGGGAAATTATCAGCTGCTTTGTGTGTTCCCCATCTTGAAGTCCATAAGAAACACTGGCTGGGAACATTACAATGTGTAGGAACTGGGGCTGCGGAGGGAACGTGCATCTGAGAGTTCACAAACGTTCTTGAAGAAACAGACATGATGGATAGTGACTGGAATTTCAAAAGCCCAACTGCTGCTTCCTCTGCAGTGAGGTTGTTGCAGAGGAATGTAAGTGTGCAGGAACTGAAGTCACAGGGGCAATGTATAGGGTGGTTCCCGACAGTTTCCCCTGCTGCCGGCTTGGCCCTGTGCCCAGGCAGAAGAAAGGGTCTACCCTGCAGTCCCGTTTCCATCCTCCGTGGGTGCTGGGGCGAGGTTAGACACCTATCTGAGTCCCGAGAAGTGTTTGTAGGACTCAGACAAATAAGAGGAGGCAATCTCAAAGGGCCACCTTTGGGTAGCTCCCCTGGGTCTAGGCTTCATGCTTCCTGCTTCCTGGTTGGGCTCCTAAATCATTACTGCTTGAGGTATGTTAAAACATCAAGGTGCATTTTACTTCTAATGCAGAGGATCTCAAGCCTTTGTAGTCTGACTGGGCACAACTCTAGGTCCAGGGCCTTGGTGGCCAGTACCTCCCATGTGTGAAGGTGTCTTTAAGGAATCACAACTTTCTTAACTCTTCACAGTAACCATCTGGAACTTTCTGAACACATCTTTATAAGGTATTGTTCCCACATCTTGTCCCCACCCACTCTGCTGTACAGCACTGCATAGAACTGGGCTGTTAGGTGCTAGGATCTTGATTTGAATAGCCAAAAGCTAGAGTCACATCACAAGCTGACTCCCACTGCTCCCTCATACTATTAGCTGGAAAAGCCATCCACTTTCTAAGTCCTCATTCCTACATTCGAAATGACAGCCTGTGCAGAGGTCTATGAGGTGCCTGATACGGCCTGTGACAGTGGTGACACATGCACTCATGTGTCCTGCTGCCCTGGGCTCCCTGAGACCATCCTTGCCATCCTGAGTCCTCAGAGGTTCTAGTTGGTTAACTGGGAGACTCTAATGATTGAGTTTTCTACTCAATTTTGCTGTCTGGCAGGGATAACTAAGGAGGGAAAATTGGTCCAGAGGATCACACAGCTCCTGGTTGTTGTCAGGTTAGACACAACAGCTCCCCCTTGGATCAGAGGATCACCAAGCTCTGGATTGTTGTCAGGTTAGACACAACAGCTCCCCCTTGCATCTGTCTCCATTCTCTATGCAGAGCACAGACCTGCAGACCAGGCTCGGAGCCACAAGTGTGTCCACTGGGGATTTCCTGATGGCAGAGCTTCAGCTGGAAGAGATCAGGCCACCAATTCCAGGAAGAACCCCACCTTTCATACAAGATGACTTTCTAAATAATTCTTGAGGAAGTTGGGAGGCCTGGAGAAGGTAATCAGTCAGGAATGAGAGGTATGTGTGTGTGTGTACTTGTGTGTGTGTGTGCATGTGAATGTGTGCGTGTGCATGTGCATGTGTACGTGTACTTGTGTGTGTATGTGTGCGTGTACTTGTGTGTGTGTATGTGTGTCTGCATGTACCACATGGATGCCAGAGGTTAACTTTGGATGCCTTCCTCAGTTACTCTATACCTTCAGTTTTGATATAAGATTTCTCTGTTTTTCCTGAGGCTCACCACTTTGGCTAGGTCAGCTGAAGGCAAGTAACAGGGATCCTCCTGTCCACCCTTCCCCAGGGTGCAATGACCAGCACGCACTGCTACAAGCTCTGGCTTTTCCACATGGATGCTGGGGACCAAACCTGGGTTCTCATTCCTGCCCAGCTTGAAAACTAAGAATGAAAAAAATCTAAAGAAGGCAAACAGGATGTTCACGAGAGTCCAGGTACCCCACTTCTCAGTCCCTATCACCAGAGAGGGCCACTCACTTCCTTCGCTAGCCTAGAATGCCAGTCTTACCCTTGCTTCCAAGTTGAGTAACTTGAAACCTACCTTACCAAGATTCCTTAGAGAAGGCTAGCAACACCCATCCACTCCAAGGGCAATTCAGAAGCCCTTGGCCTCTGAACTAGCAAAGGTGCATATGTCTCAGCCTTACAAGCCAGAGAAGGGGATACTGTTTATTCTCATCTTATACAGAGGGTGTGGGGTCAAAGATACAAGGAAAGTTAATGAACTCTCTAAAACTTATGTGGGTCGGAGCTGGACTTCACATGCTATGCCAGGGCCAGACATGCACAGCTTGTCACTGTGAGTGTGATCATTGGGGTCACTTCTGAAAGAGAGTTTAGGCTAACCTTAATGTGGGAATCACCTCAAGTTCTTGCTTGAGACACCACATCTTCTGAGTAACCAGTGCTATACAGGCACAAATGTTCCCTCCTCAATCTAATGAGGGGGCTATCTCATCTCCTGCCTTGGTTACACCCCACAAAAGCTGACTCATCTCCCACCTTGGTTGTACCCCACCAAGGCTGGCTTACCTCCCTCTTTGGTACCCCACAAAGCCTGGCTCACCTCCCGCCTCAATTGCACCCCACAAAGGCTGGATCATCTCCTGCCTAGGTGACACCCCACAAACTGGGCTTTGGGAGAAGAGACATATGTGCATCCCTCAAGTCATGAGAAAGAGAAAGACAAAGAAAAAATAGACCAAAACAAAGAGCCTAAAATGAGGAAAGGAAGCAAGCATATAAAATCATTGAGATGATGGCTCTTCATTGTTAACTTCCTGGATCAAGGATCATCCTAGGAGACTAAGGTACACCTCTGGGTACCTCCACAGAGGCGTTTCCAGAGAGGCTTGCCTGAGAACAGACCCACCCTGGTGTGGCTGGCATCACCCCTATGCTAGGGGGCAGTGGGAATGGGCAGGAAGGGGAAAGAAGAAAAACAGCCAGACACCAGCATTCTCTTTCCTCGGTGTCAGGCTGCTGTGGTGCACCTTCTGTGGTCTGCTGTGCCATTCCACCACCAAGTAAAGTCTCTAGAGCTGCGAGCCATCACAAAAGCCCTCGTCTTCGTCTTGTTTATGTCAGGTTATCAAGAAAGCCAATAAACACCGTGATGAAACAAAACAATGAAACGAAGATCAAAGACTCAAAACACACTGTGAATAAATTATACCAAATTCCAATCTCCTCAGATTAAGTTCAATACAAGAAGAAAACTTCAAAGACAAGTTTTTACTTACCTGGGAATTATTAAAACTTTAGCGACAATGACACGCAGACTAAAACAGAATATTCTTATGCCTGTTATAAAGGTAAACTAATTTAACTTCCATAACAATCATAGGAAATTGGTACTACTATTAGCATGATTCTGTACATGAAGAGAAGATGTGGAATTGCGTGTCTCTCCTCCCCGCCAGCAATGGGCCTTGCCTCTAGTGTAAGAAGTGGGATAAAGAATCCCATGTGGAGCAATCTACCCATCCCTCCCTTTACTTAAATGAATGCCTCCCCACCTTCCAAAGACAAACAACTCTTCCTGGGGACTACCCATGGTCCTTTGGCCACGGTCACCATTTGCTGCGACACACAGAGAGATTAAAGGCGTTAGAACTTTGCTGCAGTCCGATGCTCAGGTAAAGTCCCCAGCTTTTCAAATCTGCTTCATCACTGCCAGCCTCAATGTGATGCCTCAGCCTAGCGTCTCCAGACTCTCTGAGATGGCAACACGGCATCATCACCTACAGAGTTTACCACCAAGAACCATGCCATCGAGTTGCACGGTTTTTAAACTGGACTGTTTTAAGCAAATTCACAATTTCGGATGATCTGTATTTATAGCTTTTCCTTGGATGCACAAAGCCCACTGTGGGGAGTGGAGAAGGCCGGGCTGAGCCATCTCCTGACACTAGCACCGACTTCAGACTGCAGAAAGTTGCAGCCCAGTAAATACACCAAGGACTAGCTACGTTCCTGTACAGAACGCCCCAAACTCCCCTCCTACACCGCTTTTTAAAAGAACTGGTTGCTGATTTCCACCTTCCCAGGAAATCAAAGGACGGCAATAGGGAAATCACCGTGGATGAGGACTGACTCACCAAGGGCTGAGCAAGGGGCTGAATGTTCACGCTCAACGTCGCTTCTGAAGAACACGTCACAATTAGCATGAAGCAGAACGCGACTGTCCTTGGCAATTTCATTTCTTCAGATTCGAGTTGTTTTGCCTGAAATGGAAATATGAGTCCTTAGAGACATGGCGATTGATTTATGAAACAAGGAAAAAATTGCTAACCCCCGTCTTGAAAGCCACACCACACAGGACTTTTTCGTAGAAGGGAAGGGAAGGGCATAGAGGATCAAATTAAGAAACAAGCATTGTCTCAGTGGGGATGTAAACACGTCAGGGAGGCTGAGGAGGGGAGGGTGTTTAGGGGTGTTAATGCAAGTAAGTAAAACAAAGGAAGCAGGTTTAGGGGTTCAGTTCCTGCATACATGAAGAAGGGTAGGATGAATGAAAGGGAGGAGAAAATGAGGCTGAAGAAAGAAAACAAGAAAGAGATGGGCAGTTTTGTAAGAGATACTATTTGGCCTGGGAGAAGGTGCGGTGCTCCAAGTGCATGCTGCACAAACACAAGAGCGGGATTTTGCACCCCCAGCACTCAGGGAAAGCCAGGCGAGGTGGCCCCAACTATAAACCCAGCGCTGCTGTGGACTGATGTGAAATGAAATGAACAGTCCCCGGAAGCTCCTAGCCAGCTAACCTGGTGTACGCAATAGAGAACGTTAAAGAGACCCTGCCTCAAACAAGGGAAGGCTGGACACTTGAGTTGTCCTCCAGTCTCCACGCACGCATCAAAACATGTGCACACCCTGCATACATAGATAGGCACAGAGAGATGGGAAATCTCTTTATTGTAAGCCACTATACAGATTGCACCATTCAGAGAACTCACCCCACGTTTGCTACACTCGCTGCACTTGGATATTCTCATGTCTACCCTAGTCTATTTTAACCTTTTTGTTGTTGTTGTTGTTGTTTTAATTCTGTAAGCAACCCGTTCAGTTGACCCTTTGACCATATTAATTGACTAAACCTTGTAAGTATTTAGTTATAAAAATATCAATTTTACTTTATAGCACCATGTCATGGTACAAATATGATATTAATGCCATAAAGTAACCTATGAGACAAACTAACTTTTAAACTCTATTTATATAATACTGGTTATGTATACAGAAGCCTTCCTATAACTGAATTAATCATTCTTGTATTTGAAAATCAGAACAATACACTCAAACCAAGTACATTCAGGAACCAAGAAAAATTAGTTGGTATAGATAGCTTCTTTTCTGTCTTTTTGTGATTGCCCAGTATGTGCACAGGTTGGCTCGCCTATGCGTGCACGTGAGGAGGCCAGAAATCAACGCTGGGAATTTTCCTCTGGAGTGCTCCACCCTGTTTTGAAGCAGGTCTTTCACTGAACCTAGAGCTCATCCGCTGACTCAACTGGCTGGCTGTCAAGGCCGAGGACCTGCCTATCTACCTCCGACCTGCCTGTCTACCTCCGCAGTGCTGAGATTACGGATGCTCAAGACTGTACTGGGCTTCAATGTGGCTGCTTGGGACTGAACGACATGATAATACAGCAGGTACATTGTCCACTGAGCCACTGCCTGGCCCTCTCACATGATGCGTGACAGTGAAAAGAGTCACTGATTGAGATGGAAGATCTGGATTAGGGTCTGGGAGTAGGGGCTTTATTGTGACCTGTATCCTTGATTAAATCTTCTATGTGTTTTGATCCCAATACTTTACCTGCAAAGTAGGGGTCATAATACTTCCTCCCTTAATTCTCTCAGAATTTCCTGAGACGCAACTGAGATTTAAAGCCAGGAAGAGCGCCTGAGAAAAGAATTTGGAAATATCTAAGCACGGCGAATATGACAATGGTTATCAGGCCAATGATCAGTGAAGGGCAGAGGGCAGCCATGAGGGAGCTGCAGAGAGCACCGGAGGCTCGGGATCAGGATGCCACACTATGAGGGCCAAGAAGCACCTGTCAGGAAAAACCGTATGTCAGTCGTCAAGAGCCAACTGCCTTTTCCGCCTCCCCGGTGAAAAAGGGAAAGGCACGGCTCTGTGAAATGTTTCAGTTTGCACATCTGACAATCAATGCATTTTTAAAATTCTTCGGCTGAGTGATTTTAGGGCAATACTTCGCAATTTCAGTTATGGGGGTAGATGCCCCAGGCCAGATGCATCTCCTGCAGGAAACCAGAGTGACACATTAATTGGTCTATATGTACGTGTTTGATATAGGCATAGGCTGATGAAGTCTGCTGATAGCAGCTATCGCTAAGATGAATAAGTCCATCTTATATCTCCAAAGGATACTCACTCAGAAGGCAAATCGATCTTCTCAGGTCCCAACAGAGTACACTGTATACTGGTCGGCACTACAGCGAGGAAATTAATCAAGGGTGTGAGAAATAAGAGATGAGAAAGAGAGCTTAGGGAGGAACTCAGACACCAGGACACCAGAGCAAACCTCAGATCTGTACTATCCATATGCTCCAGTGAACTTTTCTGTTCATTTGGGTTAGAGTCATGAGGAATTATAAAGTCTCTAAACTGTCACCACGGATGCACTGGCATAGGTCAGTGGCCGACACAGTCCCATCTCTCTGATTCTAGCCTCCTTTGAGACTATTCTTGGTAGACATTCTTCTGTCTGTTGAGACAGTTGGGGAAAAACACAATGATACATGGTTTAACTCGTGTGTGTGTGTGTGTGTGTGTGTGTGTGTGTGTGAAGAGATATAGACAGGACCCTATCCTATATTCTCTGGAATGAGGGACAATTGTCAGCTACACTGCAAAGATGGGGCATTGTTTGGAAGCAAGGAGGAAATCAGGACTCAGAAAGGGAAGCAATATTCTAAATAACTGACAACTAGTGTGACAGGGGCTTGGTCAAAGGGAACACAGTGCCAGCAGAAGGTCACTTCAGCTACTGAGGCTTCTGCTTCGTCAGGGAAGAAGTGTGAAGCTGAAATTCCTCCCTGCCTGATATCATAACATATCTGTCCTCCAGCTCACAGACGTGCTCACCTATGCGGAAACCAGAAGGGGCTTTGCAACTTAGTTAATGAGAAAAATATCCACGCTGGTCTAGCTGAGATCTGGAGCTGCCTCCTGCACTCAAGGCCATGTGTGGTCACAGGGGCCTTAAGCTGGCATGCCCCTAGAAAGACATATCGCTTCTCACATTCCTGGAGCAAAGTCCAAATACTAAAAGACCCAGAGAAAAAAAAGAAAACCATCTGCTATCACTTCCGATCCTTCTCTTAAGGAATTAAAGTACTGGGCAGTCTCCTGTAAGGTACCTGTTGTGGGAGCTGACCAATCATGAGAACAACAACCGGGAAATGTGGTCTAGCTTCCAGGATTAACCCCACCGTGCTGAGAAACTTCCTGGTCAACTCAGACACTGTCTTCCTGTCTATGAAGTTTTAAGAGGCAGAAAAAGGAAAGTGCAGGCTGATGACACATTCCAGGAATAAGTCAGGGCTATTCTCAGCAATGCTTGGACCACGTCATGTCTGACTCCTCGGCTGTCAATAGTGATGGACTCTTCCAGAGTGACTGTGCGCCAGAAAAGGCACAGCGAAAATCCAGCCCGCTCATCCAAAACTGAGACATCCACCCCCTGCATTGAAGACTGACCCTCTAGAATCCCAGCAGCGGTCCAGGCTAACTCCGATTTTATTAGAGGTGAGGAAGTGGCAAGGGAGAAGAAAACAGAAAGAGGTCTCTTGCAGAGTTCAACTCCTGATCATAAATAGTCACGTCTAGGTCATCTGATGATTCTGTGGACAATTCCAAGGATGCAGGATGTTCCAAACAGGGCCATTGTGGGATGCTTTTTTGAAATGAATGGCTTGATAAACTCCATACTGCCAAGTCTTCCCACATTCTCTCATCTGCCTCCTCACCAAATACACTCGACCATCTTGGTTTTTCAGATGACGATGCTAAAGTTTAGGGCTGACTTTATCTCACAGCTAGCTAGGTGTGGAGACAGTCAGAACCTTAGAAGTTACTTAAAATGCCAGCTAATCATATTTTCCTATAGCCCGGTGAGCCACATTTATAGGAATTTGGATAACTGCAGCTGGTGACAGGGCTGACAGTCCCTAACCACGAGGGTAGTTTATCACAGCCCAGCCTCTGTTAAGCTCTCTGTAAGGGTGATGCTCTCTGGGCACAGAGTACAAGCCTTTCAGTACTCAGGAAATAGAGGGAGGAAGATCATGAATTTAAAGGTAGCCTCGGCTACACAGTGAGATATCATCTTTATCTCACTAAAAGCTAAGAGGATTGTCTCATTTAACCCTCTCCACAGTCCTTAACTCCGTGGGGCTATTGAACTATTCCTACTTACTGTCCAGATACAGAAATGGGAGCTTTGTTCAGGGCTCAGAGCCATGCTGCTAGTACCTGATAGCGGAGAAACGGATTACCTAGAGACCTATACCACCAGAGAAAGGGCATTGAAGCCGAGAGAGTTTCTTGGTGAAATAGAAATAAAAATAAATGGAGAATTTTCTCAAAATTAACCAGGAAACTGAAACATGAATTCTAGCCACACATTGCCAGCAGTTATCCCTAGGATACGGTGTAGGCCACTTTATCTTCCGAGCCAGAGTTTTCTTATGAACTAAGGCAAGGACTTGACAGAACTCAATGATGGCAAGTTCAGTGACAGCAGTTGGCCTTGGAGAGTTTTGGTGACTGCTTGAAACATTTACAACTCCTTACATGCTTTGCATCTCAGATGCAATCTTGCAGATTGACTTCTAAAACCATCTCCCTCTGATGTGAGTCCTGGCCAAGGCCTCCCTGCCTAACCGGAGTACCATAGCAACAGTACCACAGCAACAGTACCACAGCAACAGTAGCTTTGTCTTTGGCCATCTCTTCAGAAAGATGGGTCTTTTTGGAGCACCTTTCTCCCTAGTCCTTCCCTGCTTCTCTTATTCTTAATGATTTTCAAACTAAAAGCACTTTCACTGGTACCCAAGGTCCCCCATGACCTGGCTTTTATTTTTAATAATGTGTTTAATAAGCTTTCCCCTCCTGATGTTGGCTGATACAGAGGTATCTAAGTAGTGCAAAAAGTTTTCCAGAGTTCATACAAAAGCAAAAAGTCAAACAAAAAAC